CACATACTTGATAAACGAGCAAAGTTTTAAAAGCTAGCTCTAAATAGGAGAGAGCAAAACCATTTATATAATGATAAATAGGTTTGGTTAAAACTTATTCACAAAAACTAACTCGAAGGTGGAAGGAGCCTAACTATCTATATATGTCTACTAAATTCACGATGCGAAGCAAATATAACTTATAACAATACTCTAATTAATAATTGAAGTTATGTATATATATTGAAAGGAGTAAGATTGATTAATTATTGAATTTCAATCTAAATTTGTTAAGCAATCCTACGAGTTGGAAAGCGAAGGATATAAACGATTGAGGACTTTGTTGTGACTTGTCGAGCAATAAGACAATCTGAATTAATTGACAATAATTAATCTAAATTATGATTTGATAGTAGATTAATCAAAACCAACACACTCATCGTTAATTATTAATAGGAGTTACTACTTAAACTTTTTTCCATTTGATAATTTCAAGATCCAAAAATTAATGAGTAATGTTACAGATACCAAAATTTTACATCAAATTTTTATACCGAAGGATATGGCAACCAGTCAGACGCGACTACGCTGGAGTCTTTCGTAAATGAATGGCCGTCTAACATTTATAGACGTCCACCCATATTTAATGGACTCTCGTTCATATTGTATGGACGTCTGTCCAAAAAAAATTTAAAAGAAAAATAATGGATGCCTGTTCATCTTACATGGATGGGTGTCTATTTACTATTGACGAACGTCCATATAAGATGGATGCTTGTCCAAAAAAATTTAAAAACATTCAATGGACAGGCATTGTCTATTGTTTAATTTAAAAAATTTTACATTCAATTTGGGAGGCCCAAATTTTAGTTTAATAAAAAATTCTCTTTGAAATTTTCAATTAGAATGTTTAAAAATTTAAGCCTCCCAAAACAGGTTTCATTTCTCTCTTGCATTTTGTTTATAAATGAAAAAAAAGAAAATTGAGAATGGAAGCTAATTTTCATTTTTCTATTGATTTTTCTTTATAAATGAAAAAAATTGAAAAAAAAATTTGAAAATAGACGGTAATCCATTTCAAATGAACAATAACAATGAACAATCATTTATAGTTGATAGATAATCGTTCATTTGTAAAATATTTATTAACATGATATATAACTTGTTTGATTCAGTAAACACGTTGTTTGGTGTAAAAAAGCGTAAAGCATCGGTCGTACCATTTTTCAAAATTAATAGAATTATTCGTAAATTTGTTCAATAACTTTGTTTAAAACAAAAAAAATAAAAAAAAAGGGGGGGGGGGTGACATGCGATATAAATGAGAAGACAGGTGACAGGAAAAGTCAACTGAAGCCACGAGACACGAGGACTGAGACACACGTGTGCACTGACATTTCTAGCTTTTAGCTTTCCCTTCTGCATATATACTTCACTTCCCAATGTCTGCACGCACGAATGCCCCCCCTGTGCCTGCCACTCTTCCACGTGCGTCTTCCATTTATTGTATTTCAGTCACTCAGATTTCACATGCCCTTTTTTCCTCTCTCTTTGTCTCCAACAACCACCCTAAATATTCTTTTCTTTTATTCCAATTTTTGGCACTCATATCTGTCGTCTTCTTCCTTCATAAAAGGAGCATCCAGACAGAGTCACAGGCTCACAGCCCACCCACCCACCCACCCTTCTAATATATGGCCATACCTCTCTTCTTCCTCCTCTTCTTCTTCTTCTTCTTCTTCTCACTGATACGATCAATCTTTAAATCCTTTGCATGTGTACGTGTATGGCATTATCTACCAAACTACGTACTAAAAACAGAAAGTGCCATTATACATATCAGGAAAAATTATTCATCAAATCTTGGTTAGGTCACCGTCCGTTTTAATGCCACTAATAACTCCACCATGCAAGCACTTCTCCCAAAGCACTTCTTCCTCCCATCTTCCCATTTATTAAACTACATTACTAATAATAGCTATTGACTGTGTATTAATTCATTCATTCTTGTAAAAATGTTCAATTACAAGTACTTGGACTATTAAATAGCCAACGACAAATTAAAGTAAGATTTTGCCCTACTGTAAAGGTCATGGAATAAGTAGTGGAGAGCTCAAGAAGATACTCATAATTCATAATTTATTTATGAAATTTAGACTGTAGATCAAACCTAGCCTTTGCTGTAAAGTTTATCAATTATATAAATTAATTTTTTCTATGAAACGATATGATTCGATAAGGATTCTTTGGTATATTACTTAAGAGATTTTGAGTTTGAGTCTCTCTCAGTTGTTAATATGGGTAGTTATTGAAGCTCTTATCCAATCGATAGTTTCATGTTCCTGAAGACTAATTAGGTTGAGTTCGGGTCCCCCTCAGTTGCTAATAAGAAGTCATTAGAACTTTTATTCGACCGGTAGTTCTAAGGTCCCTGGAGACTAATTGAGGTGAGCATAAGCAAGCTCAGACCCCGATCATTAAAAAAAAAAAAAAAAAAAAGATAGAAAATAAGATACGGTAGAATATTGGCACCAAAACATTGGAGGTTTAGTGATTGGAAAAGGGGGTTTAAGGAAAACCCTAATATAATTAGCATAATTAACTCAATGAAGTAATGGATTCTAGATTAATTAGTGGTAAATGACAAATATTGATTGACATTGCCGGCCAAATTCCCATTGAATCTTTTGGGTTTAATTGGTTTTCTTGTCTCTAATCCAAGTATTAGTTAGGTAGACATAAACATAATCCCACTTTGTTGTTGTTGTCTTTTAATGCCTCATTAATTCTACCAATTTTTTCTTTAGTTTTGACTATATATGTTATCTTTTGGCCCAATTTTTCTTTTAAATAAGTCAAATTTGGGTCCCTTTTTCCCACAAAAAGATGTTGACTATAAGTAAAGTGAATTATAGGGTTTCTATCAATTCCCATTTTTATTTTTATTTTGATTTAGAGATAGTACTTCTTTGCTTGTTGCTTGAAAAATAGGGAACACTTTGGAGTGGATTCAATTAATTAAAATCAATCATCCATTGATGCATTGACAACTTTTTCTTGTCTTTTGCCTTTCACATCTCTTTAATAGTATGTGAAACCAAGTTCACATTCCAAGTTAAAATAGTCTTCTTGACTTCGGAGAAATGAAAACTGGCCTCATGTTATCTCTATAATAGAGTAGATTTTGGTGTCCGAACCAACTTTTACGCACCTCCGTGACTAGCACAATATCTTATCTATCACTTGCAACTGTTACGAGTGTGTGGTCACTGCTATGATCACCCGCTTAAATCTTGGGAGTCAGAAGGATTTAAACTTAAGATTGTGCACCTTAACCACACATCCCAACATTCATCCTATCAATTGAACTACCACAGGGTGGGTGAGTAGATTTTTTCAAGGGAAAAGATTATAAAAGTTAGTAAAGTCTTCTTTTTCTCTTTAAAATAGCTAATTCAAATTGTACCAAATTAAAAAAAAAAAAAAAAACTCTTTATCATTAATCACTTGATTAGAAACGATTAAGAGAGATTTTCATGCTTATTAAAACATATGTATGATTAAAAAAACCATTAGTTGATGCCAAAGTCTCACATTCGTTATGAGACGAAGGTCTTGATTACTTATATAGCATAAAGACACCATCACCATCTAGAGACACATTTTTAGTACAAAACCATGCAGATCCTGTGGCCCAAAGCAGACAATATCATTGAAAAGTCACTTATAATATGTCTAGATTCGGCATGCATCAACACCACCCACATAAATTTTCTTATACATTTTTTGAAAACAATAATACATGAATGAATTTTCTTATACTTTTTTTAAAACAATAATACAGGAACTATTTTACTATGGATTATAAATGAATGAATGAATTTATTAATTAGACAGGGTGGTGTATGCATGTATACTAGGTAACATTTAGTGAAAATTATAAGGCTTAATTAATTAAAACTTGATGGATCCAGCACACGTGCATGCGATCACTGAGACAAAATGCCGACATAATGAAGAGCCACTAAGAGATTCTCAGCATTAATAACGGAGGAAGAAGCCTTCAATTTTCTTGATACGACATTCAAAATCATCATTCATGTTTCCAGATTATTATTGTTAAAACATTAATTTGTGGGTTAAATCATGATTACCACCAAAACACTGCTTAAATAAAAGAAATTAATTAATTAATAATTGTATTTTCGGGTGACTTTAATCTGTTTAATCATGGTAACTTTTGCTTTTTGATTGATGATGATGATGATGAAGATGAAGATGGAAATTGTAGTCCACTTGGCCAGGTTGTAGGCCACCAGGTGACCATCAAACAGGTGACATGTCGCGACATCAACACGTGTGATCATAATTCATCTTATGATTTCTTTTTCTTTACAGGCTATTTTTGCTTGATCTGAGATTTATGTAAAGCTGGATGGAATTTTATATATATATATGGCTGTGTATGATAGTTGGCTGGAAAGTGGCAACCCTTTTATTAATCCTGGAAAGAAAAAACACTCGAACTTTCCTGTAAGATATATATAGCACGCTTCATCAATCATCTCATCTTCCTCAACAGTATAAGCTCATGATCCAACAATGCTTATCAAAGTTCCTGTACTTTATCCAGAGAATGATGTGATACTGCAGATTTACATGTGATTGTTTCAAATGGGCTAGGAGTTTTGGGCTCCATTCTTGGTTCTTTCAGGCTTCTTCAGAAATCTCATTAAGGGATTGTTATCTTGCTGGTTGATCATTGGAGTCATCCGATGATCCAGTGACTATATATGTATATTAACCATCTCTGGATGATCGGATAGGAAGATAAAAACTCTTGAGTGTATTACTCAAAAGGTCTTAAGTTCTTCTCAATTGTTAATAGAGATGAATACTGGAAGATTAATCTGATTGTTAACTTTAGGATCCTGAAAGATTAGTCGAGGTATGAACAAACTGGCCGGTACACAAAAGAAAAAAAAAAAAACTATGTGTATCAAGATACGGTTTGAAGGCGATTTGGTTGTACAAGATTATGTTTTATTTAAATAGAAGGTATAGACGAGCAACCTTACACAACTATTAATAGTAAACCAAGAGTTGAAACTCTGCAATTAGAAGACTAGTTACACGCATTATGATCATACAAACTCCAGAATTTCGGCCCCATAAACCATATGGAACTTAAATCTTAAAACAGTACCATCAATTTCAATCCTCGTCCTCATCATCTTCTTCATCTTCCTCCTGTTAATTTATATCACAGCTGGTGAGAAACATACATTCGGGAAAGAAATAAAACATGCTTTTGACAAATTTCTTATCAGCAGACAATGGATTGAATTACTAGCTATTGAAATTATGTAGTACATGATGATCTATATCTGCGAACAGAAATGGCGTTTTAAAACAAACATGGGATGTCAAACAGGGCATACTAACTATTATATGTGTGTATCATAGTGAGTTTATAAATTTTCAGAAAAGGAGTCAATGATATATAAGAGTACCTCTTCCTCTTCATAATCATCATGCAACTCAGGTTTTGACTTTTCAGACTCCTGTTCTTCTTCTTCTTCACCATCATCGTCATCATCAGTACTTTCCTGAGCGAAATGTATGTAAACCAAATAAGAGAACCAAAGCGAGACAGAGTGGAGAAATTTTATACAAAGAAAGAAATAGACCAAAACAAACCTGTTTCTTGTTGTAGGCTATCATAAGCTTTTCATACTCTGATTTCCTTTTTGCTGCTTTTGCTTCATATGGAGCTTTTTCCTGCAAATTGCCGAGAATCAGGTAAGATAGGCAGGGTGCATAGACTTTTTCTAAAGCGAAGAAGCAAGCAATAGAGAATAGAACTTACAAAAAACTTGTATATCATTTGCATTACTAGTTATATTGTACTAATTCATATATCTTGAGGCCTCATGTAATATCAAAATTTCCCACTTTGAGAGAGTCGAAAGGTAATGTACTCTTCCCTTTCTCAACACATTTCTTTAGACAAAGATCTTGTAATTTCCCAGTAAATGTCTCTCTAAAAATTTGATTTGACATTGAAATATTGATGTAAGTTCTTCTCTTTTGAATCAAGTAGGCTAGAAGGCTCTGGTAGTCTAAAACATATTGGCAGTGGCTTGGCCATGCCATGCCATCAAGAATCCAAAACCATCGAGTTGAGCTTGGTTTGTAGTGGGGTCCAGTGCGAGCCAACGATGCAAGGTTTTGTCGGCACCTTTACAAGCACATGCCATAGGATTTTCCAAGTCAAAGTAACCAATTCAAGAAGTGATGGCAGAATTCACCAACAGCTCAACTAATTAATAATTAAAGTTTGTTTCAGGATATATTTTGAAACTTACTGAATCAGTCAAGGATTTCCACTTCTCTCCCCCAGCTTTCCCCACCTTCAGTCACACATTCAGTAATAATATCAGTTTCTCCCTCCAGATAAAAAGTCTTATCAAAAGGTAAAACTTTCCACAACAAAATAACATAATAGGTTAAGTAGATGCATACAGCCGAGACAGCTTTTATGTTGGGATGCTCTTGTTTGTAAACCTTCCTGAACTCTTCTCTGCAGCATTTACATTATATTATAATAAGGAAATCTTGTAACAGTAGAACATTTTTCCTCAGAAACATCAGAAATTGAGAGAGACTTACAGGAAAACAAAGAAAGCACTAGGAGGCCTCTTTGGTTTGTTGGGGTCTTTCTTAGCTGGTATAGCATTCTTGGTTCGTTTGTTGCTACTCTTAACAGCCTTCAGTGCAGCCTTTCGCTTTCCTAGCGTTCTGAGAAAAGTAAATATACATTGTAGAACTATCATCACAAGCGGCTTATTTTTGTGTTAAAGTTAAATTGTCTTGCTGCAGCATGTTATAATTCCATCAAACTACCATCGAAGATAATAAACATCGGAAAGTATTTCAGGATTCTCAGTATCTGATACTGATATGTCACCAATATAGCACCTCTCTGCGTGTATCCATGTTACATAGCTTAAAATTTAACTGGGTACTGAACATCAATATATACCTGTCCTCAACAGGCTTCAATACTTCCTTTCTTTCCTTCTTCAATACCCCTTTGCCCTTGGTAACCTTCATGGTACACGGAAGGTGATATACCTGAAAACAACACAAATTACAGTGATTAACAGTCATTGGATTCTAGACAAGACTAAACTCTCCATCCATGGAAAACAAAATACTGGACAATGAAAGGACTCAAATTCGGCTAATTAGAGCTAGATGGATATGCATGTCTGTATATAGCTGATACCATAGCGGATTTCATTTTGGTAACGCTAAAATTAGCCAGACTGAAAGCCATCCTTCAAAATGACATAATGGACAAGAATTCATCTCAGTTAAAGGCAACTTTATCATTTTCCAGGAAAAAAAAACTATATATACAAGGAGATGCAAGAAAATCATTAAATTATTAATCTGATCACTGAGATCAAGTTTCTTGATTATTTCCCAGGCAACCAAACAGAGATTAGGGATCAGAAATCATAAGTAAACAATAATCTACAAACAAAAAGAACATACATAAACGGCACAAAACAGAAACACACAGAGAGAAACCTATATTATTCTTGAAGTTGCAATTTTTCATTAAAAAAAAAAATCTGACAAAAAGTTGAAATTTATAAAGAATGGAAAGAGGAGCTAGAAAGTCAACAACAAATAAACAAAAATTACAAATTATAAACACAAAATTTAACAATATGAGAAAAGAAAACTTGCTTAAAACTACAGAGAATCATATACCAGTAGAAAAGAATGAGGAACACAAAAGCAGAGCAGTCTATCCCTCTATTTGATGACAAAGAGTAAAGCAGAACGCAGAGAGATGCCAAGAAGATATTTGCGAGGAAGCCAAGTGAAGTGGCACGTGGCGAAGTGGGGTCAAAGCGACATTTAGTTGAGAGTTTTGTCGTGTTATTGGGGTGTTGTTATGTTAGGTGCTTCGAGTTGCAGAGGATCCGAGTAAGAAAATCTCTTGACTTTTGATTGGTTAAATCAAGAGTTGGTCTTATTGTTGATTTCAACATATACGTCTATGATTATGAACAATCTTTGTCATTTTGTTTTTCTTTTCTTTTTGCCAAATCATGCATCTTTTCTCTCAGGTGAAGAAACTGACGAATTCTTTCCTAACTTTGTCCTGTGCCCACAACAATCTATCGCCTGCTACACAGTCCACTTGACCCAGGACCAGGACCAGGACCATCCAAATATTTTGATGATCATAAGGCAATTTATCACCGTAAAAATAATAATATAATATAGTATATTTGTTTTCTATTTTGTTGGTATGAAGGCTTCCAGTGAGTAGAACAGAGTAACTTTCATTACAAACAATAGTTTGCTTCTAATTACTCACCATTCTAATTACTATTAAAATATGTCTCTAACCAAACAATAGAATAGACCATTATTGGATAATATATTATGATTACTCCAGCCAGATCATAATATTAAATTATAGTTTGCTTCTCTATCAGTGACTTTGTGGATATCACTTGAGTGATCCTGGATCAAAACTTTGAAATAATATAATATTAATTCTCTTTCAAAAGCGATGTATCAGAATTTACACCAAATTACAGGAAAAAACCAAATAGTTTTGAACGAATTATGTATCCTTAAACTGTGTATAAGTAAGCAGAAGATGTGAAGACAAATTGAAGCCCCACACCAGAAGGTGAAGAAGCCATCAACCATCCACCTCTCTCGCTAAAAGATAAGGCTAAGATAAGCCCCCCCTACATTCTCATTCACACCCATCAATTCCATAAAAACAAACCATTTCGACCCCAAAAAAAAAAGAAAAAAAAAGGAAAAAAAAAACCTCTAAACACAAATCAAATTCCTTCATTCTACATATAATAATATTTTTACAATTCTTCACCAATCACCACCGAGACGCTACTCATGGCCACCACCACTCCAGCAGCAACAGCTTCACGCTTCTTTGGGACACGTATCCATGACTCCAAGCCACTGACCTCGGCCAAATTTCAGGCCAGGTTTAGCTTTGGTGGTTTTGGCACCAAAAAATCCCCACCACGACCACCCAAAAAAGCAGTCCCCAAGCTAGATTCTGACGACCTTGTATGGTTCCCGGGTGCAACCCGACCGGAGTGGCTCGACGGGAGCATGGTGGGAGACCGCGGGTTCGATCCGTTTGGATTTGCAAAGCCGGCTGAGTATTTGCAGTTTGACTTGGACTCGTTGGACCAAAACTTGGCCAAGAATGTGGCTGGTGATGTTATTGGGATCCGTGAAGAGACCGCCGAGCTGAAGCCGACGCCGTTTCAGCCTTACACGGAGGTGTTTGGGTTGCAGAGGTTTAGGGAGTGTGAGCTCATTCACGGAAGATGGGCAATGTTGGGCACTCTTGGCGCCATCGCCGTTGAAGCTCTCACTGGTGTTGCGTGGCAAGACGCCGGAAAGGTACGTATACATATACCTGCGTACATATAAATACACGTTCTTAGAATTTGGATCTGAATTGAGATTAATTAGCTTAGATTAACGAGAGGTTATATTATATATTCTTCTATGTTTTTGTGATCTTGAAATTCGGATTGTTTAATTGAGATGATTTCTTGGAACTCGATCATTTATATCATCCAAACACAGAAATTATTCAGAAGAGATGTAGCAAATAGTACTGAAAATAGCTGGCGAGAACATTTTTGTCCATTATCGTGTCTTATTATCATCCAAGCATTCATGATGTTGGCATTTATGGATGATGACAATGTTGATGTTGATTCACGTGCCCACAACATGACAAATAAAATTGAACGTTAATAATTTTGTTTTTCAGGTGGAGCTGATTGAGGGAGCATCTTACCTCGGCCAACCACTTCCATTTTCATTGACAACATTGATTTGGATTGAAGTTTTGGTAATTGGGTACATTGAGTTTCAAAGAAATGCAGAGCTCGACCCTGAGAAAAGATTGTACCCAGGTGGGTATTTTGATCCTCTTGGGTTAGCCTCCGACCCCGAAAAGTTTGAGGATCTTCAATTGGCTGAAATTAAGCATGCTCGTTTGGCCATGGTGGCCTTCCTCATCTTCGGAATTCAAGCTGCCACTACAGGCAAAGGTCCTATCAGCTTTGTGGCTACATTTAACCAGTGAAAGTGATCTTGTAAAACTCTTTAAGAGAGACATGTATGTTCTGAATTCCTGTAACCAAAATTTGATTTTGTATATCATCACTCTTTGCTTGTAACTCCTTCTCTTAGAGGTTTAAATTTATTATGGGATATTATAATTTTGAAGAAGGAATATATAAAGGTTACTTTTTAGAGGTCCAAATTCATCCATGCATGGTGGTAAGATTGTTCTCAATTTATTGTCCCAAGTTCTCAAGTTCTGTTTTAAATTAGATTAGTCCGATGGTTGAGTTGGTTACCTATCAATATAGTTCTAATAGGATGTTTAAATCAAGTAATTATTATTATCAGTTCGAGAATCAAAATTCCTACCTAATATTTTTAACTCTACCCTCTATCACCAATTATAACACTTTTCTACTTATTCAGAGTTGTTTTAGGTTTCACGCAAACATAGATTTTTCATATGATTAACGTGTACGGTTTTAAGTTTGAATCCCCTTAACTCTCAAGATTTAAGTGAGTGATTATGACGGTGAGATGTTATGCTAGTTTCCTATAAGGATTAGTCAATGTGCATATGAGCTGATTTGAACATCCTGTTTAAAAAAAAAATGTTTGTTCTTAATGTATGTATTTAATTATAAAAATTTAAAGCTTATAAACAAATTTAAATTATCATTTATAAATATATATATACCATTCCAAATATTCTCTATCTTCAATTCCTTCGATTTTCATGTAAAAGAAACATGAAATTAAAGGCCATTGACGAAAGCTTTTGGGAGTGTTTGTACCAATAATTTAATTAAAAAAGGATACACACAAAGTCACACAAACATATGCATATCACATGTTGCTCTTTCGTCCCTCTATTTTACGTGAGCTAATTGAAGGACAAATACTTTGTAAAATAACAATAACATCCATAAAATTAACCCAAAAATGAAAGAATAAATATTTTATATTGCGAAAAACATTTTAAACATATATAAAAGCCTTCTAAACCCTGAAAATGTAACCAAAAAAACAATGATTAATAAGTAGTATAAATACTTAAACAGAAAAATGGGATTTGTTGAAGGCCGTAGCTTACACGCCTTTTCAGAGTACACTTTTACAGGAAAAAGTTATTATAATTGCATATATGTATTATGTAATGCCTGCTTGGTCCACATTTCTTGTAAACTAATTACATAAACAAAGACAAACAAGAAGGTCTCACAAAAATTTAAGATAATCTAACAAGTAAGCAATCTACAATATCAAATATTCAACGTTTGCTCTTTTCTTTCATCATTTATTTCTCAAGAATCTCCTTTTATTTATTTCATTTCTTGATTAACAAGTCATTTACAACTGCCCTTTTTTCTAAATTTTCTTCCTTTTTTGATATTTGCATATAAAGGTTTATTCTTTTGAGGATCTGTTGGTTGTTTGAGAGGGTGGAGAGGAGATATGGGGAGGTTATTTGTGGTGAATCTTGAAGGGAAGATCTATAGTTGCAAGCACTGCAGAACCCATCTTGCTCTTTTTGAGGATATTGTTTCAAGGGTTGTTTCTATGATCTTTATTTGACCTTTTGATTTTGCTTGCGTTTTGTGTTGTTGTGATTTTTTTTTTTGTTGCATCTTCATCTGGGCATGTCTAATTTGTTTTAAGCTATGCATTTTCGCTGCTGGGTAGACTTTTTATGCAACTTTATTTGTTTATGTTATGGTGATTGTGTGTTTGATTATCAGAAATGAAGAATCAAGGGAGGCCTTATGTAATCAACGAAGTTTGTTCGCAGTTGATTTTGTTGTGTTAAAGACCCTTGGTTTCTGTGTAGATGTTTTTACTTGATCAGAGTATATAATGCTTAACTCCTGGGATTTCTGTTTTGAAATGAGAAAGGAGAAATTTGTGCATTCTCCATCTGGGTCATCTAAGTCTTGTACCTGCTGAAGTTTAATTTACGCTCCCTATCTTTTTGCTATTTATGATTTTATTGTAGTAGAGCCATTATATATGGGTTATCTTGGAAGATTTATAAAACTCTTGAACCATTCCATTTCAATCCAAGTTGAAGAATCAAAGAATTGCACTTCCAAATTAGGATGATTTGAGAATTTTTTACTTCATTTCTGATTCAATGAGGAAGAATTGAACAATTGCTCTATAATGATAATAGAATGTGTATAGTGATCTAAACAATCGCTCTATCATGAGATTTTTCTTTCTGGTTTGTGCTAGAATTAATTAGGAAGGATTCTATTGTTTTAGGAGCAAGTGTTTTTAAATATTTTGTTTAGATTACAAATGATGATTTTGATTGTGATTTTTAGTTCTCAAGCATTCTTATGCTTTTGAAACTAATTGTATGTGTGTACACATATATGCATGTATTGCATCCTTACATTTGCATTTATAAGTGCCATCATGTTTGCAAATTTATGATATGACAGGGATGGGGCTCTAATTACAGTAACATTGTGGATGGTGCTTGTTCTCTTTCCCCTAATGTAGATGAGGCTTGGACAATACTATATTTTTAAATGCAACTTGATTGTAATTCAGCCCCAACTAGTTAAGAACTAATGCATCTTCATGATGATACAGCATAATTAATGATATTTTTCATACAATCCAATTATGTTGGAGGTTTCTGTGAGAATAAAATGTTCTGACATTGTGTTTACTATGGTGTTTTATTCAGTCTTTCCACTGCAGGCATGGGAAAGCTTATCTCTTCAATAAGGTGTAAGTTTTCTGACTTTGGCACCCCATGATATTTGCCCAGCAAAAGTGGGGGAAAAACGCGACCTCATCAATGTATATTAATACATTAATATTTGCCTCACAAAACTGGGGGAAAAAAGCAACCTCATCAATATATATTAATACATAATACTGAGCCCATCTAAAACTAAGTCTAATTGAGCCTATCAACTGAAAACTTGGCAATTCGTAAGGTTCCAGTTACTTATGTTGCACTATAGAAACAAATTTATATGAACTGTCATTCTTGTACATATGAACAAAGATTAAGCTATTATATCTTTTGCTTCTGGACTTCTGTTCAAAGATGAACACTTTTTATTTGCCCAAGTGCATTAGTTATCATATACATGTTCGCACATATGATCATGCAGCCTTATTAAGTTTCTTGTGTCTTATTAAGGTTTAAGTATCTATCCATCATGTAACCTGAGAGTGGCCATTAAGGATCAATCTCTTAATTCATATTTTCTATTCATCGTCCAATTTACATCTGAATGCATATTGCGTAACTGCACGTATCATGTTTCAGTGGCTAATAGTGAAATAGGGATGCTCATGGAAGAATTTCGTGGACACACATTTTCACATTCTTGCCCAACAATGATTCATTAGATATTTCATGTAAACAATTGGTCTTTCTTAAGAAGAATCTCGTCTCATGTTGTTTGACAGAGTGAATGTCTCTGTTGGAGAGAGTGAAGAGAGAATGATGATGACTGGGCTGCATACAGTAGCTGATATTTTCTGTGTGGGGTGTGGATCAATCGTGGGGTGGAAATATGTAAGATTTGGTGGCAGAAATTTTGAAAATATTGTTTTATCTATGTTCCTTGTTACCGTTTAGTTATTTGGATAGTTTCTTTCAGGAAACTGCTCATGAGAAGAGCCAGAAGTACAAGGAAGGAAAATCTGTCCTTGAACGGTCAGTATGTAACTACGGATTGGAGAAAGAAAAAGTGAATAATAATTTGCTAGTTACGTTGTTGATGAGGTTTTCTGCGTTATTTTGTTGAACAGATTTAAGGTTTCCGGTCCAGATGGAAGCAATTACTGGGTCAGTCACGAAGCACACGTTGGTGGAAGCGATGCAGATGATGTTTGATTACTCCTTCAAATTCCAACTGTACATTCTTTAACCATCAAGTTTCTGATTCGACTTCTGAATTCTTAAACTGGTTGTTCTTCAATTCAGTGCCTTGCTAAATGGCACTGTCACTGTGAATAACCTAATTGAAAACACTCTGACTGTTGATTCCGATTAAGTTGATGCTCAAACTTCTGTGATCATGTCTTCAATTTAATATCACTTACTGTTCCATTCAGTTTTTAATGCATAAAAATGTTACCATCTACCTGCCACCTCTATTCCTTCTGTATTGTTATCAGTTCAGGCCTTATTAATGGGGTATTTGTCTGAGCTTATAAAAATTAGCTTATAAGTAACAAGTGTTTATAAGTTAATTTTAGCTTATAAATATTTAAAATTTTAAGTAATTACGTGTTTGGTTAAAGTACTTATAAATGACTGATAAGTAGTTGACGTGTTTGGTAAAATGTGATTTAAGTACGTTTTATTATAAAATGATTAAAAAGGGTATCACATTAAACAAGGATAATGTGATAATATACTTGATCAAACTAGTTTATAAGCACTAATTACATTGATTACTGTTATCATCATTTTATAATCACTGTCTACTAAAAGACATTGAAGCCAAAATGCTGATGGTGATTTCATAGTTTCTGAGATGTGATACTATATGGAAAAATAAATGGTAAATATGATAAATAACGTAACGTATCTATCAAAGGGTTCCAGAAATTTCATATTGTTAAGCAGAGGTGAACTGGCCAAGTGGGAATGCATACAGGAAGAATTGCATATTTTTCTATTTATTGTGTTAGTTGCTTCTTTGCATAAACCACTAACTTTGAATAAATCGGTCAGGTCTACTATTGGTATCTACTAATTTTGTCCTTAAGCAACTATAAACAATTTATTAAGAGAACAAATCACAAAGGAAAGGACCCACTTTCAGAATGACATTTGGCTCTACCAAACAAAGTCAGATTTGGGCAAAAGAGAAAAGAATAATAAGATTTGGTTGCATAGTTGATTGATGCAAAACAAAACGAATCGATTGGATATTGGTTCCATTAGCATTATATCTGATCCAAGTAAGAAATCTATACTTGAATTGTAGTTGGCAATTATTGAATCAATTCAATTAGCTTCTGTGAGAAGCAATCAAAGCATATTCGCACAAGCATATATTCTATTCAAGTGGGTGTATTTTCAAGGGAATTAGAAGGCTTTTGTCATAATCAACTCAATTTAATTTATGGAGCATGCTGCAGGGAAGATTCAATATTCGAAATGAAAGAAAAAAAGAAGATGAAAAAACCCTTCATTTGAAAAAGAAATAAATTCTTTCATTTGACAAACTACAGGAAAACAAATGACAAGACATACACACAACACAAGCTGCAAATATGAACTTGATTATGAATCTGTACTTTCCATAGGAAATCAAATGAAAGCAATCCTTAAAATATATAATTAAGTAACTTCCAAAGATAGCTCCCTTTTTTGGTCTCTGATAAGTCGGCATGATTTCGCCAGCAATTCCAGTGCCACAGAAAAATGTACATCTTTAATTTGTGAAGAATTTTGTATGATACGTTTTTAAAAAAGCAACTACCCAAGAGAATAAACCATTCGCTTAGACAGCTCTGCACCCACAACCTTCAAATATCTATGTAACTGGGATTCCAAGGATATCCTCTCAATGGGATCAAAAGCTCGTTGGACATCCTTCAAAATTGTAACAACTTACTGAGAAAATGAAATCATAAAACCAAATGACTATCAAACAGTGGTGGTTGCATACAACAACCAGAATCATCAATGCAACTTAGAAATAAAGTATATTTACCTTGTATCTCAGTCGAGACCCATTCACCCCAATTAGAATATTAGTGATGTCACCATCTATTCCCACATTAAGATCACTGGTTTCTGTATCAGATATATCATCATCGGTTTCCGACTCAGGCTCAAGCATTTCTTCATCATAGTCCATAAGGACATCATTCGAGTCCTCTTGACCTATGTCATCATGTTGCAATTCTGTAACATTTGCAGAAACACTAGGTGATGAGGACTCCATATTTTCTAAGCTGGCAAAATCAGTCAAAACAACATATGGCCTCTTATCAAGCAAAGGCCTGGCGATATCATATGGCACCCACCTGGAAACATCATTTCCACTTGTTATACTGAAGACATTAAAAAATAACAGGAAATGAAGTTTATATATAATACAGATTTTCAAGCTTATACATATAAATTATTGGTCTCATAGATGAAACTCTCTTGTGCTTCAAGGAAAGAATATCAAGTAAATAGGCCCAGATGACATCAAGGACCTTATGACCATGCCTGGAGTGGACTGTTCTAAAACTGGAAACCTTCTTTCTTTCTTTTTACAACTTACTATAACGTAAGGCTTGAAGCTATTCATCGAGAAATGTAAAGTTGACCATTATTTTAACCAGGTTTGACTAGAGGTCACCTGAGCATCACTCTAGTAAGAGATTAGATGTTAAACAAAAGAGAGGAAAATGTTTTCAAAATACAGGAATGCCAGAAAAAATTAGAAACCACCAACTACAGCTAAAAGAGAACATGGACCACTTGAAGATATCTACAATTAAAAAAATTTTGATGCCTTTATTATGATAAAATATCTGTTATTCTTTTAGAAAAGCACCAAGAAAATGCCAAACAATGATTTAGCTCACATCTAAATTCAGTAAACTAAGTGGGGAACAGGTTTGAGATACTCAGTATTAAGTTTTGTGACTGAAATGAAAGTTGATTTATACAATAATACTTATAAAGAAGCAAAAAAGGGGCTTAAGGTGGTTTTACTTCCAGTATTCACTGTTAGTTGCTAGATGCATGTGGACTTACTGGTATCGAAGAGGACAGAGAAGCTCTGAAGGGCGATATGCTGCTTTGTACCTCATCTTCCTGCAGGAATGAATGTAATAACCAAGATAATAATATTCAAGAGTAGGACAATGGACTTGATTTTCTTTCACACAACCTATTTCTTGCAGAGCTGAATACTTGCCCAGTGATAGAAAGGCAAAATCTGGATCCCAAAATAAATATTTACTTGACAAACATTTAGGGAGAATGTCAATCACCCCAACTGCCACTAGCTGGTCATCAATCAGATATTGCTGATGGAAAGAGCCAAAGCCACAAGGAGGAACTGTAGCATCACCAGATGGTGGAACAAACACTAAGGGAGTGTCAACTAAAAATCTCCTATATGAGGTCTCGTCGACCTTATCTGGTCTATCATTGTGCACTTTAATCTGATATTGCCTATACAATGCATACTCTTGTGGATCAAAACTGGATCTTTTCAAACGGATCTGAAGCCTATGCCTTTTTCCCTGAGGATGCTCAGGGCTGTTCTCCACGCACCTTCCTTTATTGTTCACATCAGAAGATTCTTCAGAAATGGTAGCAATTTGAATACTGTTATCAAAAGAAGATTGGTTCATAGCAGAATAAAAATTAAGATGCCCATTACAAGCCCTGATTGAAAGACCAGAATTTTCAATCAGCTGATTCAAAGAACTTGCCAACTTTTCTGCTATAACTTTTGGAGATGGACCATTATCTTGTGTGTTTTGTCTTAATATTTGTATTTGCTGGACTTCCTTCTCAGCTAACTGTGCCCGTCTTAAAGTGGCTGCTATTTGGAATGCAATGTTGCTGGAGTATAAGAGATTTTCCATTCCTTCAACTAGTAGCTTCCTTTTTGCCTGTGAAACTAATTTGACTGACGCCTTTGGAAGTTGAATACTGGAAGGGAAGTCCCCACTTTCGATGCATGTATGCACTGCATTGTCAATCTGGACTGACAAATAATGCAGAATTTCTTCTGCCTTATTCTTCTCTTCATTTTTATAAGACAAGGAGTCCTTCTTGGCTGAGCTTAAACTGTCATGGTGATTAGAAGTGCTTGTGTCCTCCATAAACTCAAAAGATTTTTTCATATCCAATGTCCCTTCTAAATACCTATGCATATAACATGGTTAGTAAGCCGAAGGAGCTTTCTTTTAGTATTCCTATGCTTTTAAACTTCGGATCAAACATGGATTCAAATCCCTAACAAACAGGTATATATTAGCTAGAGGAAAAAAATAATTCAGCCAGAGAAAACAAATTAATGTGCTACTAGAAATCAACAAGTTCAGAATAAAATCATGGAAAAGAGAGAATAGAAATCTAACCCAGCAATTTGGTAATTCACTGATTTATAAATTGGTCAACAAATGTGTGTATTAAAATATACACATATCAATAGAGCCTTTATGATACATCATTGCTATGACAGCCGAAATTATTTGAAACTCTTCCATGGAAACAAAGATGTCATCCTAAAATGGAAGCTTGACATATCATGGAAGCTTATTCTCAAGATCTTATAAGAATGAGATGATAAACCAACAAAAGAACTATCAATGCAAGCATCACATCAAGAAACTGAGAAAACAAAAGGAAGTATACCTTTGCATTCGTCTAGAAACTCGTCGTTGTTCCTTAGATGGAACAAAGTCACTGGCCTTTAGACGAATAGTATAGGACGGGCAACATGTTTTTTTCATATTAGGTTTATAAAGAAAACACCCAGACCTTCTCCAACCCCGGTCAAGCAGATCTGCCAAAGCAGCTCTAGAATAAGAATGGAGTAATTTTAAAGAAACTACAGCCAGAAAAGCTGGTAATATGTTTAAATCAACAGATATCATTATAAAGCTTCCAAACAAAACTGATATCAAACAACTATCATAACAAGGAAGTAATTTAAAATAAATGCACGCACCATAATCATGAAAAAGAGAAGATATTTCACATATCGAAAAGAAAATGCCCGCATCTTAGTTTTACATATGCAACAATGATTTCTGTACCTTACCCCGAATTGAAAATTTCCTTCCATCACCTCATTTAAGATGTTAACTTATTAAATGTATGCACGACAATATTTCATTCCCAAAAGAACTTGCAACAACATAATCAAATAATCAGTAGAACAACAAATCTTATATTAGCAATCAAGAAAAAATTGCATATCTTACTTCCCAAATGCTACATAACTTACAGAGAAAATGTATACATTCAAGTAATAAACCACAAATTCACCAAGATAACAAACTTTAACGTTAAAAACCTTGGTAGTCATCAACCGTCACGCTGTACGCCCATAAACCTACAAAAACAACGCCAAACGATTTCTCATCAACATCAAATTTGACCTTTCAAAAAAGTCAACAAATCCACGAATCAATTAGCCAAAATTTACAAATAAAAAGACGATTCAAATAACTAATTTTTGTATCATATTTCATCGATCTTATATCAATTTCGTAGAAATAAATTCAAGCAACGGACCGTGAGTGTTGCTAGTTTTGCGACCGGGAGATTTACAGTAACCACAAGGGCTTCTACACGTGCCACAATCAGTAACAACGGTCTCTCCTCGTCGGTTACTGTTATTACTGCTGCTCGCCTCGTTTCTCATCTTCGCTGCCGTCTTCGATTTCTTCATCGGCGAACCAAAACGACGTCGCGGACTCCAATTTCGTATCTATCTGTCTGTCTATATCTCTCTCCCTTCTCTGTCAGTTACGGAGGCGGCTTGTCTATCACGGTGTTATTGCTCTCCAGCTCTCATTTCTGCGAATAATCTTCAGGCTTAAGCAAGTACTATTAAATTACATTGGAGATTGAATCCTGTGCTTGACAGAGCAAACTATCACTTTGCTTTGATCATGATCCAACCCATTTAGCCACACGATTGGCGCTTTCTTGATCCATGATCTAATATTGTACAAAAGGGTCTATATGATAAAAAGTAAACTTTTTGTATTCATTTAAAATTAAGAAAACTTTAAGGGTAGTTTGAAAATTAGAAAGTTTTGCTATTTCAAGGCGGTATCTAGTATAATATCATAACAAAGCAGGGACACAGCTGCAAGAAAAACCCCATTCCCGAAATTCAAAACTGACATTTTTATAAGATTAAAAAAGGGAGGGCATTATCGTGATTATCCACCAAACCAGAAGCAAAAATCTGAAAACGTAGGCTTGAAGTGAGAGTAAACACAGAGAGGTATAGTTACAGTTGCCCGGTTACTTAAGAAACCCCAAATGTAATCAAAACCTCCTTCTCTAAATCTCCATTTCACCCCTCAAATCGCTTGTTAATCACACTCATTGCCCCTCAACCACACTCGTCTCTCTCTGATCCGTTCTCCTCTTTCCTCACCATTCAGCTAACTAGCTAGTCACCGAGCTCAGCTTTGTTTAAGTTAGGTGAACCCGAACGGCATGTCGTTTTAGATCTCATTGTTTTGATCTGTATGTATTCAACAATGAATCGAAGCTTTAGGTCTCAAGAAATGCAAATGCAGGCCGCGGCTTTGAAGCAGAGACAGCAATTACGAGCTTCAATGATGAGGGAGAAAGAAGAGGAGCTCTCATTGTTTCTCGAGATGCGAAAGCGTGAGAAGGAGCAAAGTAATCTGTTTCTTAATAACTCTGAAGAAGAGTTCGAAGCACCATTAGGTATTTTTATGATTTCTAATTTTGTTGCTCGCGAGACGGTTAGGTTTTATGCCGTTTTAAATTTTTCGATCTCGTGAAATGTCAAAAATTTTTCTTTTTGGTGGTTTAGGGTCGAAACCAGGGACTTCTCCGATATTTAACATTTCTTCTTCGAACACGCCGGCGAGAAAGACTGGTGCTGATGATTTTCTTAATTCTGATAATGATAAAAATGACTATGACTGGTAATGTGGTTATATTTTTTATTTTTTTATTTCTTCTGATTTTTTTTAGTGTTTTGTGTAATTTGATAATGTTCGACTCTTTGGGGTTTTTGTCGTTTTGAGCTCAGAAGAGTTAGAATAGAGAGTAGCTGATTCTACAAAAGGAAAATGAGAAAAAGGAAATGTTTACCACAGTATGGTAACATGCTTAGTTGATGAAATCAAAATGAGTTATTGATTACAACTTAAATGGGGTTTAATAAATTTCATTGCAAGTTAATATCCAGAAGGCAATTATTGTCGGTTTTTTGAGTTTCTTAGAATTTATTGAGCTGTTGATTTTGTGTTATTTATTCTTATGATTTATTTTCTTTGATGGGATAAGTTTGAAGTTTATAGAAGTCACAACCGAGGAAGTATAGATCAATGACTTTAGCATGTTTCAATATGTTTCAAAATCCATGCAAAACTTGATTAGATGTTTATTGAAGTGCTTTTTTCACAGGCTTTCAGCCTTTTACACCTCTTTGCAATGAGTGAGGAAATGGCCTCTGTTTATGGTTTGTGCTGGGAAGTATTTCATGTTTTGGAGGTTACATTTTCTTCACTGTTTAGTAAGGGTTGGAATAGCTTATGTTAGGGGCCTGTATCTGCCTGGTATCTTGGCTTCACCAGATGTTTCTACCAGTCCTTTATGCATGAACGCATAAAAGAAAAATTATCATATAGCTTTACTTCTTTTTCTAAATTTCCCTTGGTGTTAATGTTTTTTTCAGTTAATAATTTGTGTATTACCAGAGTGATTATTTCTGAATCAGGTTTCTTCAAGTGTTTATGAGTGACGATTTTAATTCTCTCTCTTATCTTTTCAGGCTTCTGACTCCTCCTGGGACTCCTCTTTTTCCTTCTTTGGAGATGGAATCACAAAAGACTGTTATGAGCCAACTTGGTACTTCAAAGGCCCGCCCTACTGGCCTGAAATCCAGAGTAAGAGTGCTATGAGTACTATCATAAAATTTTGGGCTGAATGGCACTTCCGTTTTGAAATATTTTGTTACATTTAGCATATGACATGGTAGTTTATAGATGTCCAAATTATCATTTGTCATGAGTTTGTTAAAAGTGAAATGTAATCATTATTTTTCTCTGGATTTTGAGGAAATCTGTCCTTACATGACCCTATTTGAAGGGAGTAAATATGCTGTTTTGGAAAATGGCTTTGTAGTTGTAATCAGGAAAAATTATGGAAGTTCAAGTTCTACATCTCCATGCTAACACTTTGAACCAATTGATTTTTTTTTTTTTTTCTTTCTTTTTCTTGCATGTGTGAGAGTTGCCGTTTCATTGCTCAAATTGTATATTTGTCATTTTAAGAATAATATAAGAACTTAGATTGTATCCAATATTGACAAAGCCAAGAGTTTGTAAGGAGTGGAAGTGCTTGTCTCATTGTCGTTTATCTCAAACCTTTAACTCCTCCATGGTTGATTACCTTGGTATTCTACTGTTCTGAACTTTGGTGTGATTTNTTTCAAGGCGGTATCTAGTATAATATCATAACAAAGCAGGGACACAGCTGCAAGAAAAACCCCATTCCCGAAATTCAAAACTGACATTTTTATAAGATTAAAAAAGGGAGGGCATTATCGTGATTATCCACCAAACCAGAAGCAAAAATCTGAAAACGTAGGCTTGAAGTGAGAGTAAACACAGAGAGGTATAGTTACAGTTGTCCCGTTACTTAAGAAACCCCAAATGTAATCAAAACCTCCTTCTCTAAATCTCCATTTCACCCCTCAAATCGCTTGTTAATCACACTCATTGCCCCTCAACAACACTCGTCTCTCTCTGATCCGTTCTCGTCTTTCCTCACCATTCAGCTAACTAGCTAGTCACCGAGCTCAGCTTTGTTTAAGTTAGGTGAACCGAAACGGCATGTCGTTTTAGATCTCATTGTTTTGATCTGTATGTATTCAACAATGAATCGAAGCTTTAGGTCTCAAGAAATGCAAATGCAGGCCGCGGCTTTGAAGCAGAGACAGCAATTACGAGCTTCAATGATGAGGGAGAAAGAAGAGGAGCTCTCATTGTTTCTCGAGATGCGAAAGCGTGAGAAGGAGCAAAGTAATCTGTTTCTTAATAACTCTGAAGAAGAGTTCGAAGCACCATTAGGTATTTTTATGATTTCTAATTTTGTTGCTCGCGAGACGGTTAGGTTTTATGCCGTTTTAAATTTTTCGATCTCGTGAAATGTCAAAAATTTTTCTTTTTGGTGGTTTAGGGTCGAAACCAGGGACTTCTCCGATATTTAACATTTCTTCTTCGAACACGCCGGCGAGAAAGACTGGTGCTGATGATTTTCTTAATTCTGATAATGATAAAAATGACTATGACTGGTAATGTGGTTATATTTTTTATTTTTTTATTTCTTCTGATTTTTTTTAGTGTTTTGTGTAATTTGATAATGTTCGACTCTTTGGGGTTTTTGTCGTTTTGAGCTCAGAAGAGTTAGAATAGAGAGTAGCTGATTCTACAAAAGGAAAATGAGAAAAAGGAAATGTTTACCACAGTATGGTAACATGCTTAGTTGATGAAATCAAAATGAGTTATTGATTACAACTTAAATGGGGTTTAATAAATTTCATTGCAAGTTAATATCCAGAAGGCAATTATTGTCGGTTTTTTGAGTTTCTTAGAATTTATTGAGCTGTTGATTTTGTGTTATTTATTCTTATGATTTATTTTCTTTGATGGGATAAGTTTGAAGTTTATAGAAGTCACTACCGAGGAAGTATAGATCAATGACTTTAGCATGTTTCAATATGTTTCAAAATCCATGCAAAACTTGATTAGATGTTTATTGAAGTTCTTTTTTCACTGGCTTTCAGCCTTTTACACCTCTTTGCAATGAGTGAGGAAATGGCCTCTGTTTATGGTTTGTGCTGGGAAGTATTTCATGTTTTGGAGGTTACATTTTCTTCACTGTTTAGTAAGGGTTGGAATAGCTTATGTTAGGGGCCTGTATCTGCCTGGTATCTTGGATTCACCAGATGTTTCTACCAGTCCTTTATGCATGAACGCATAAAAGAAAAATTATCATATAGCTTTACTTCTTTTTCTAAATTTCCCTTGGTGTTAATGTTTTTTTCAGTTAATAATTTGTGTATTACCAGAGTGATTATTTCTGAATCAGGTTTCTTCATGTGTTTATGAGTGACGATTTTAATTCTCTCTCTTATCTTTTCAGGCTTCTGACTCCTCCTGGGACTCCTCTTTTTCCTTCTTTGGAGATGGAATCACAAAAGACTGTTATGAGCCAACTTGGTACTTCAAAGGCCCGCCCTACTGGCCTGAAATCCAGAGTAAGAGTGCTATGAGTACTATCATAAAATTTTGGGCTGAATGGCACTTCCGTTTTGAAATATTTTGTTATATTTAGCATATGACATGGTAGTTTATAGATGTCCAAATTATCATTTGTCACGAGTTAGTTAAAAGTGAAATGTAATCATTATTTTTCTCTGGATTTTGAGGAAATCTGTCCTTGCATGATCCTATTTGAAGGGAGTAAATATGCTGTTTTGGAAAATGGCTTTGTAGTTGTAATCAGGAAAAATTATGGAAGTTCAAGTTCTACATCTCCATGCTAACACTTTGAACCAATTGATTTTTTTTTTTCTTTCTCTTTCTTGCATGTGTGAGAGTTGCCGTTTCATTGCTCAAATTGTATGTTTTTCATTTTAAGAATAATATAAGAACTTAGATTGTATCCAATATTGACAAAGCCAAGAGTTTGTAAGGAGTAGAATTGCTTGTCTCATTGTCATTTATCTCAAACCTTTAACTCCTCCATGGTTGATTACCTTGGTATTCTACTGTTCTGAACTTTGGAGTGATTTATATGCTTGAATTGCTAATGTTCTCTGGTCTGTTCTTGTTTGTATAGCTTGCAAACCCACAGCCAGAATCTGCCGCAAGGAGTAGCTTAGTATCTAGACAGCCAGCTTCCTCGCCAGGATTGAGTACATCAAGCACTGGTGTTCGTAGGCCCTCATCATCTGGGGGTCCAGGATCAAGACCTGGAACCCCAACTGGACGCCCTTCATTGATCTCAGCATCTAAACCTTCAAGATCTTCAACACCTACATCTAGGCCCACCTTATCTTCAATTAAGCCTGCACTTTCTGCTTCTAAGCCGACAATTTCTGCTACTAAGCCTGCAATTTCTGCCTCTAAGCTCACAAGTTCCGCTACTAGGCCCACAAGTTCCACTACTAGGCCGACAAGTTCTGGTACTAAGCCCACAGTTTCTGCTACTAAGTCCACAGTTTCTGCAACTAAGACCACAGTTTCTGCAACTAGGTCTACAGTTCCTGCAAGATCCTCCACGCCTACAAGGTCCACAGCCCGATCTTCAACACCTACTTCTAGACCCTCTATACCTTCTTCAAAGCCTACATCAAGGGCAGCAACTCCAACTCGTCGACCATCCACACCATCGAGTTCACCTAGTATATCTGCTCCTCCAGTTAAGTCCTCTCCTTCGGTTACCAAACCTGCTCCCACAACATCAAGAAATCCGGTGCCATCTCGTGGCAGTTCTCCTACAGTAAAATCCAGACCATGGAATCCCTCAAAGATGCCTGGTTTCTCGCTTGATGCTCCACCAAATTTGAGGACTTCAGTACCTGAAAGGCCACTTTCAGCCACTAGGGGTAGGCCTGGTGCACCCAGCCCCCGATCCTCTTCAGTTGAGCCTGTATCTAATGGAAGACCAAGGCGGCAATCATGCTCTCCATCTAGAGGACGAGCCCTCAATGGCACTTTGCACTCAAGTGGGAGCTCTGTTCCTGCAGTCAATCGAGCATATGCTAAAGCTAATGACAATGTAAGCCCTGTTGTAATTGGGAACAAAATGGTTGAGAGGGTGATCAATATGCGGAAACTGGCACCTCCCAAGCAAGATGACAAAAACTCTCCTCATGGCAACCTGACTGGGAAGTCTTCATCTCCAGACAGCTTGGGCTTTGGAAGAACACTGTCAAAGAAATCATTGGATATGGCTATAAGGCATATGGTAAGTATATGCTTTCTTTCAGTCCTTATTGCATTGTGTCACTAGGGTCCTTGGAGGCTCATTTAGAGTTATGCATTAAGTCTTGGAACTCCTACTCGTATTGATATCCATAGCATGGTTATTTTTGTTTCCTCTGTGCATGTTCTTGTTGGTTCCAATTATCTTTATATCTGTAGTTATCACTTACACTTAAATCTATTGAAAACATTTGAGGGAAGAGTTAATGAAACAAATACAGTGATTTACTTGTCATTTTCCTGATTTGAATTGGCAGGATATAAGGAGAAGCATCCCTGGTAATTTAAGGCCATTAATGACAAATATTCCAGCATCCTCTATGTACAGTGTGAGATCAGGGTCTGCGCGAAGCAGAACAATTAGTGTTTCAGACTCCCCTCTGGCCACAAGCAGTAATGCTAGTTCAGAATTGAGTGTTAACAATAACGGCCTTTGTATAGATGGGATTGAAATAGAAGATGATATTGGCAGTGAGAGAGGTGTTCCATCTCCTGCCAGTGTACGTGGGAGGTAATGCTCAAGGCCAACAACCCTAATATAAAAACGGCTTTTTAATCCGTCTTACATCATTATTTCAAATCTACAAGCTTGACAGTTTGAAGGAGAATTGATTTGTGGAACTCGCAGGGTTCAGGATCTACAATTAATGTAAAGTTTTCTTAGTTTGGTCAGAGGTTAAGTTTCTGTAATTCATTGTCTGTGTATTATTAGGAAAACCAAATGTATGCTGAACAATCATTCGTGTTCATTTTCAAATTTCAACACGGTGAGATACTGTGAACAGATCCATTGAATTGGATCATCCTTGTTATCCAAAGCTATAGTACCTTGTTCCCTTCCCCATACTTTTACCACTTGAATTTGCACAAAATTCCAAAGAAAACCGACTGCAATTATAATTTATTGAAGTGTAGACTTACGGTGAGGGCATTCAACCGAGGCTTGAAAGGGACTAGATCGAATAATGAAGCACCGCATCATAAAGAGGGTAACAAGGCAAGATTTAGAAGAAGTGGTATATTTTAAATTCAATATTATGAAAGCAGGACCACAATACAATAATGCATATGACCCAGCACCTTTTCAGTTTTGAGTTCAAAGTTTCACAGAAGAGATTGGCTTGTGGATCGAAGAATTCTGTAAGCTTTGGACCACAAACTATATCCAACTGAGCACAATCCAAGCTTCTAAACCAGTAATGTCTGTCTACAATCACCTGTCTGAGAAGAAAAGGTGCGGCCTCTAGCTTCAGATGCTGATGGCATATCAGAAGCCACGGACTTGAATGATGGTTGGTTGGTCAGATCCAAATCATTATGCTATCTGAAGCTCTACTAGAACAACAATTTTTTTCAACAAATTCAGGAATATCACCATAAAGTAGATGGATTTTATAATTAAGTTGAGAAATACACCTTGTTTAAGTCAACAAGTTTTTTTACATAAATGAACACAAATATGAAGTCCCATAAACTGAGATACCAAATCCATGAGGTTCGAAGGGCTTTAACTTAACTACACAACAGTCTAGTAAACTACTCTTACATATCCTTTTGACTTCTAAAAGCCAACAAATAAGGCCACAACAAAACTATCAAGCAGCAGCCACAACCTCAGCAGCTGCAGCCTGGGAGGGAGCAGTCGAAGCAGAAGCCTGAGAAGTTTTAGCGTCCTTGACAGGGGCAGGTGCTGGCGGTGAAGGCTTCAGGTGGGCAGGGGTATTGTGCTTCAATCTTATGAGTATATGCCGCATCCTTGAGAGGTCAGTTGGTTTCCCAGGTTTTGGACCTTGGATCACAACAATGCCAGGCTTCTTTTCCTGATCCTTCTTTGCTTTCTTCTTCTCTATAGCTGGCACTTCATTAGGAATAAGCTCTGCAATTGCTTTCCAGTAATTCTTATCAGCTTCAGCATGAAACTTCTGCTGGTTGGCCACAAATAACTGTCATATGAAGAGGCAAAAGTTAGAAATATTCATGCATCAATGCCCAATATCCAAGATTTATGAAGCAATAAATCTTGTTCAGAAATTAAAAGAAAGATTTCATCATGCAAAGCAAACTTGATGGTGAGGAAAAAGTCAGAAATATTTAAGCATCATTTTAGTATCCCCTATTTTGCATAAAATAATTTTCGAAGCCACACATTTAAAAGACCAACACAGCCCAGGTACTCTGGCAACAATATAAATAAGCTGCAAATGAAAGTGGCAAGTTGAAGCTGCATTAAGTGATTTCTTGTAGTTCCAATCTAATAGCACATCAATAAAATGATGATCAAATACAAAGCAGCAAGAGAGGCCAAGTCCATTTCTCTAAGCTATACATACAAGACATCACTAAGTATGCCAAAATGTCCATAGTCCACAGAACAGGCTATTTTCTTAGTTATTCAATGCTTTTGAGTATTTGAATTATGTAAGAACTTCTTCTTTGGCAACATGGCTTTCTGGCCATCAAATTTCCATAATTGCAACAAGGTTCAGAATGTTAGTAAGAGCAACAACACATTCATACAAGTCACACTCTCGTTTTATGCATATATTACTCACCAAATCATCGATTCAAATAATCACTCCAAATATCACACAACAAGCACCAAGATAAACAGTTGTATAACGTAAAATTCAAGAATATGTCTATGGGCAAGAGATACACGAGCCTAGATTCAGACCAACATAACATGCATACTACACCCAAATTGAACAAAAGTGTCAGAAAAGCAGCCCTCAAAATAAATACTACAATAAAAGAAAAGAAAGATAATTAAAAAAAAAAAAAAAATGATGAAAATATCTACACTCACCTTCTCTCTTTCCCTGTTAGTTTCTTTTTTATTTTCACAAGTCACAACCCTCTTCCTGTAGAATTCAACTTTGTATTCATCTGCTTCTTCAAGTATTTGGTTCAACATCTCTTTCTCTCTCTTCTCCTTCTCCTCCAATCGAATTGCATTCTCCCTAGGTATTAAAACAGCAATCCCCAACATAAACACTTAAAAAAAAAAACAAAAAAATCTCCAAAACCTCACAAGAGCATGCAATGCATATCATTATTACACAAAAACTTAGATTCGACAAATAACAATTACATATCAAAGAGAAAAGTAAGCATCTTTTTCAATTCTTTAAGCAGATTAATAGTAATTGAGCTCAACTAAACACACAATAGTATAAAACAAAGTTCAGTGAATCGTCACCCAATTGCAATTTCTATCAAATATGAAAAGTTTAAACTTTTTGGCACTTCAACTAAGTTTAATAGCACATCAATAAAAGAAAAAAAAAATGAAGTTTGATGTTAATATGCTTGCGTTTTGCTAGTAACATAAATAAGATAAGCAAATAAAAGTAAAGAAAAAACCAGAATTTTATACATTTTGTCACTTCAACTACTATAATTGGAACATGAAATTGAAAGAAAAAAAAAAAGTTTGGTGCTAAATTATACCATTTTTCCCTATAACTGAAATAAACTAATAAAATTTGAAAAAATTAACAGATCTAAACGAACCTTCTCCATTCTCTGAGCGCGAAGCCCTCCTCCGGTGTCATGTCGGACGGAGGCGGCAAAACCGGCCCGTCAGAATCACCGTTCGCATACTCGCCGTAGATCGACTGCTGCGATTCGAACACGTCGTCTCCAGCGTCTAAAGACGACTTATTGTTATTGAAGACCGGCGAATCAACGGCCGAGTCAGCACGATGGGAGTCATAGCCTTGATAACCTTCGTCATGAAAGGGATCAGTTGACTCCGCGACAGGGACCGAGTCAAACGAATCGTCGAAATTTGACATTGGTTTTTGCGTATGGTTTTACTCTGATCTTTCTCTGTTCAATGTCAGCGATAACAATTTCTAGTTTTGTTCGCGTTGCCATCGTGCTTTCTTGGGCCGAATGGGTTTGGACTACGGCCCATAATAAAACGACATGGACTGGCATGTAATGGGCTCTGGCCCAATTAGGATAAAAATGGGCTCCACAAAAGAAAACAGGAGCCCACAGCATAGCTTTCACTACAAAATTCTAAAGATTATACGACGACGCATGGTCAAATAAGGACACATTTTTGTCTGCTATTTTTATTATTATCCAACTTCGAGCTTCCTTTTGCCGTAGTTTATTAATGGAAAGGATAAACAATTAACGTTGACTCCAACACGTGCGTCAATAGTTAACCAATCTGGACCATCCGGCTGGAGGGAAAGGAAAGATATCAACCTGTTAAATTTTTTATTACTACTAAATGGGACATTTATTATTTTGGACAAAAGAAACGTGTTGTTTTTGTGTGGAATGGCTGCTTCGGAATCTGCCCCAGTCAACACATTACAAGCACACAAATTACTATTACACGTAGTTTCTGAGTTCTGCTTCTATCTCACAGGATCCAAAGTCTTTAACTTGGTCAATGCAATTCAAGTTCAATTAATTCTGGCCTAACTCATTCAAACCACGGCTGCTTTCAGCCTTCAACGACTCTTATAGTCTTAGTACTATAAATTAAATATCAGCATCTTGTTCTTTTTGTCCTATATAAATTATAATATACTTCAAAACTTCAAACGCCTCCTCTGTTTTTGTCTGTTCTTGTTTTGGGGTCTGAGAATTTGACGTGAGGTCGATCAAGATGGTGTTCTTTTTCTGGTTTCTTTCGGTTTGGTTACTCTTTTTTGGAGATGGGGTTATGGCGGCTACAGTGAGTAGTAGCTCAGCGGAGAGGACGATTAGTCAGACACCCACATGGGCTGTTGCGAGTGTTTGTGCTGTCATCATCATCGTTTCTATTTGCTTGGAGAAAGGTCTTCACAAGCTTGGAACGGTACGTTTATATTTCTGTTCTTTTAATTATGCTTTTATTACTCTTTTAGCTGCAAATTTAACCACTTTTTGTGAGTTTCTTCTTGTTTTTGTAACTGCCTTGATCTTCTCATTAACTTTTGCTTTCAGTTCTTCATGACTAAGAGGTGGTTTTTTATTTTTTTGGGTGAATATTGATATTCGTTTTATTATGTTTGTTCCAATTTTGTCAAGAGATTGCTACTTTTGTACTTGGTTTTGAGTCAATACGATCGTGTAAAGATTGAGTTTTGAAACAACTGGCCTTCCTTCTTTCTGTTTTCAGCGTTTCTATATAAGAAACTGTAGATTTCGTATAATGCTAGTAATTCATGGTAAAAAGATGCCACACATCTAGGAGTTATCCAAAATTCTTATTTTAAGTGATGTTCATCTTATTGGTGTTGATACGTAAATGAAGTGATGATTTTGTAAAAATATATGGCAATGCCAAAGAAGATGAAACATCACTTGTATGATAATTTTGAAAAATTTCGCGGATTTGTAATGCTTAATGGTTAGTAAAGGCTTGGTAGCTGAAAGAATATGTTATTAACTTTAGAATGATGTTATATTTGGCCCCTTTTATCTACTCTGCTGTTAACTTACTTTAATTTCAATTCAGTGGCTTACGGAGAAGCGCAAGAGGGCTTTGTTCGAAGCCCTTGAGAAGGTCAAATCTGGTGAGAAGATAAATTTTTTATCTTTCTGATATTGTTTTTTGTGGAGATAGACATTGGGTGCTTATTTGACTTTTGATGCATAATTCGTGCAGAGCTGATGGTTTTGGGATTCATCTCGCTGATACTCACTTTTGGGCAGAATCACTTTGCTAAAATATGTGTATCTTCAAAGGTTGCAGACTCTATGCTGCCATGCCGGCTTGGTAGTGATTCTGATGAAAAAGCTAGTAGTGAAGAGGAACATAGAAGGAGACTCTTGTGGTATGAACACAGATACTTAGCTTCTCTTGATAGCAATACTTTCTCGTGCAAGGAGGTGAGTACATATAGAGCTGGAATTTGTTTTAATTTGCTGAGGTTAAGAGCTTTTTTTTTTTAATTTAAAATTTCCCCTGGAACTGTTAGTAGGTACAATATATAACAATTTCCATAGAGAATTATGTTATGAGGGTTTAGGGATATGCAAGTATTTCCTTTCTTGTAATGTATGAGTCATCATGACCTTTTGTGGATAGAAGGTTTTAAATCTTATGCTGACAAGCGTGCTGCAATATCTTAACATGACCAATAGTGATCTTTTCTTTTCTTTTTTTGATGATAGATCACTTGATAGCTTTTAGATATTAATTAAAATCCTTTAATTTTGATAAAAGCTTACCTGGTTCCTGTCTACAGGGGTATGAACAGCTTATATCAGTAACAGCATTGCACCAATTACATATCCTCATCTTCTTCTTGGCAGTCTTTCATGTGGTATACAGTGCTATTACCATGCTGCTTGGGAGGCTAAAGGTATTGAAACTAGAATAGACTTGGCTTATTTAGTTTCAAAAATTGCTACTTGTATGTGTTTTGTATTAACATATAGTTATATTGGACAGATTCGTAAATGGAAGAAGTGGGAGTTGGAAACTCAAACCCCTGACTATGAGTTCTCAAATGGTATGTTTTCCTTGAGAAATTGAAAATCTTTTAATTGATTAATTATTTTTTTGGGTTTCTGAACATGAATTTCCCAAGTTACACCTGAATACCCAGATTTGTGTATCATCTTCGAAGCTAAACCAGGTCTATGTTAATATGCAGATCCTTCAAGATTCAGACTTAGTCATGAGACATCTTTTGTCAGAGCACACACCAGTTTTTGGACAAGAATTCCTTTCTACTTTTACATTGTAAGTATTTTAACTAGGAAATGGAAATCTTGTCAGTTCCAAGTGGATTGGGTTAGTTTAAATATATATTGTGATATAATCTTTTAGATTGATATTAAATTTCTGAATCTCTCTCTATTGCAGGGATGCTTCCTTCGACAATTTTTCAGGTCTGTTAGTAGGGCTGACTACTTGACATTGCGAAATGGATTCATCAATGTGAGCTTTCTGTCATACAATCTAAATTGTTTAGAGTTGGTTATACCATTCCTTTCTGACAATGCTATATCATTCATAGGTCCATTTAGCTCCCGGAAGTAAATTTGACTTCCAGAAATATATTAAAAGATCATTAGAGGATGACTTCAAGGTAGTAGTGGGAGTAAGGTACTGCTCTTTTCATATATTGTTTTTCTTCTTTTTTTATATTTCACAGTTTCTTGTTTGTACTACTCTTGCCTAAATAATTTGGAATATGTTTTGTTTGTATGCTTACCTATTTTTGTATTATTGGCAGTCCTGTGTTGTGGGCATCGTTTGTGGTTTTCTTGCTTTTAAACGTAGATGGTGAGCTATCTTTCCTGGAAAAGTCCTTTTGAACTAAATGTTCTGTGTATTGAATTGAGTTAGAAGTTAGTCACCTCAATTAATATATTATATGCTTTTCAGGATGGCAAGCACTTTTTTGGGCATCGTTAATCCCCTTGATTGTAAGAAATCTGGTCTCAGTGATCTTTATTCCAGATTAATTTGAAGATTTTTGAAATTCTAACTATCGATTGACTGATTCCAGATAATCTTAGCAATTGGAACCGAGCTTCAATCCATTTTGACAAAGATGGCTATTGAAATTACAGAAAAACATGCAGTGGTGCAAGGGATACCACTTGTACAAGGCTCAGACCGATACTTTTGGTTTGGTCGGCCTCAGTTAGTGCTTCATCTCATTCATTTCACTTTGTTTCAGGTATTGAATGACCTTCTCTTTTGAAGATATGAGATCTTTGATATATGTGTTAAGAGTGCAAAAGATGAAATAATTGTTTCAAATTATCTTCTGCATGCATAAAAGTCTGCAGAATGGTAACTTCTACAAGAATGACTGAAGAAGTTGCCGTTGTGGTTGATTGATATAGCTATATAATCCCAGTACTCTCTCTCGGTATCAATCAACCACAATTGGCAACGTCTAAAGTTATGCTTTTACTTAACATTTTTGTACTTCATCTGGTAACTATCTTCTTTCATTTTTCATTCTTTTTATTTGTTTTCTAACTCCTTTCTTTTTGTGCTTTTTGGGGTGCTTGCAGAATGCTTTCCAGATCACATATTTCGTGTGGATATGGGTAATTAATCCTTATCTTCTAATTAGTCTATTAAATATTGAATCATACATGCTTATTTTGTCCTGTTTACTTCAGTGCAAGTATCTCAAGTGAGGTATAACGAAGTCTTTTCTGTGCAGTACTCCTTTGGGTTGAAGTCTTGCTTCCATGCTAATTTGAAGCTCGCAATTGTAAAAGTTTCTTTAGGGTAAGCCATGTTGTTCTCCTCAGTGATAGGGAACTAAATCTAACATCAATTGTGCCCTTTACATGGCACAATGCTGCTTATAAGCAGATGCTTACAACAAACTTGATAGATCTTTTCAGGACATTATTTGTTAACCTATCAACCATCCATGAATTTATGTAGCATTCTTACAATATATTTTCCCTAGAATATTATTGAAGCCCTGAAAGTTATGTTGATGGAGTAAAGTTTTATGTTACCTTGACATCAAGTGGGCTGAATGTTTGTTGGCATTTTGCAGGCTTGTGGTCTTAATTCTGTGCAGTTACATCACACTTCCACTATATGCCCTTGTTGCTCAGGTAAGCTTGTTTTTCATTTTATATAGAAGATGGAATAGACCTCAAAAAAACATAGAAGTAACGAAATATATTTTGGAAAAAGATAAAAGTAATCTCCAATTTCAGATTCCCCAGTGTATATATACTCTGTTCAAACATCCTTGACCAATTTTCTGAAAAAAAATTAGTATTAGGGCTCATTGTTTTCTGTTTTTCCTTCTATATTAATGTTATTCATTTTATAAGTTGTACATGGTGAGCTAAATGAGTCCCTGGTGGATACTTGCAGATGGGTTCTCACATGAAAAAATCGATCTTTGATGAACAAACTTCCAAGGCCCTTAAGAACTGGCACAAGGCTGCGAAAAAGCAGAAGGGAGGAAAGTCCCCTGCTCGATTCCAGGGTGGAAGTGTAAGCGCAACCCCTTCATCATTGTTTACCTCCAGAGCACATTCACTGCATCGTTTCCAAACTACTGGCCACTCAAACCGCGCATATACCTATGAGGACATTGAGGCATCTGATCTTGAAGCTGATCCATTATCACCCACATCATCAACAAGAAACTTAATGATAAAAGTGGATCATGATGAAGATGGAGCAACTGAAATAAATGAACTCCATTATGAGAAGCAAACCAGCAATGAAAGTGACTTCTCGTTCGTGAAGCCTGCTCCGGCAAAAGAACCATGATATAGCTTTCAGCGGTGGCTGTAGTGTATGCAGTGAAAGTTTACTGTACCGGTTGTCTAAATATAATTTTGAAGATGACTTCTCATTTGGGAAGCCTGCCTGACAAAACGAACCATGAGACTTAGCTTCAGCATTGGCTATAGCAGATGCAGAGAAGGTTTACTGCACTTGTGTGTATAAACTTTATTTCTTTGGAGATAGAAGTTTAATGATTGAAATGGGTTAAGTAGATATAGTAGATTTACTTTTTATTTATTGATTTTTTTGTATAGACATGCTTGTTCATAAATTATGATGTGTAATAAAATCTAGAGTTCGCTTGTTTAAGCCCAAATATTGTTTAATGTTTGAGTTGGTGACATGAATGAGTTTAATGATATGGAAAATTTATCAAAATGCTTTCAACTGCAAATTAGATGGATGTTATAATGTAAGTCTACTTCTGTATAAGTTTTACATAGGGTGTTCTTGGTTTTCTGTCAGATCATTTGCAACATGTGGGGTGCTCCCAGAAGAGATCAATTGGAGTCTAAGAAGATTGAGGTCAGTGTGGTTTTATTGTGTGAATTTTCTTATGAGTATTATGTGGTGAGTTAGATACTCCATACTGTGCGATAAAATCGTTGATTTATATCTTGATACTTTTACATACCAATAATATCATATAATTGAAATAAGGAGAAGAAGAAGAAGAGTATTATTCAAAATGACTAATTAACTCATGATAAACGTTTATATTCTTGTGGAGAGTTCTGAATTATTTAAGATATCTTTCTCAGACAATAAAAATCTAAGTCACCAGTAGCGGACCATCTAGGGTCATAGCTTGTTTGATGGTTCGTGCTTCTCTAGCTAAAGACTTCATTTTCAAATGAGTTTGCATACATAGAAGTTATTGCAACTTGGAAGGAGCAGTTTCTTATAATTGAAGCACTAAATAGTCCTCAAAACTGCATACTTTTCCCTATCCTTTGGTCAAATAAACTGTACAATCCTAAAGAGTTCAAGAAATCCTGAATGTTAGCAAAATTTATTTCCAAAGCCCTCAATCATGTTTATGAAGAGGTGAACCGCTTGCCTTGTAGTGTGGGGAGGAAATTAGAACATAGAATTCAATTTTTCTACACTGTTCCTGGCTGCCGTGTGACACTGGTGTTATCAGACTAGACTTGTTTCTGATCCAGAAAATGGGGTTATCAGACTTGACCTGTCTTTGCTAGAGACCAGAGTTTAAAAAAAAAAAAAAAAAAAAAGGAAAAAGAAGAAAGCTCTGCAGAGATTCAAAGGAAAAAACACCTTATTAACCGATCATCAAGTCAACTTTCCACATACACATTAGGCATATTTATAGACAATAAATAAATGAAACAACAATCCTACATCAGTTTGTCTTTATGCATGAGAGCCGTCTCATTTCTCTTCATATTAGAGTTGATTCTTAATGTTAATTTGTAATGGCTCATTTAAAATTGTAGGAGAATGACCTTGACACATGTAACGTGATTGAAGGATGGAATATTATACTAAGTGTGGTTCTAGGTTTTAATTAAAGATCCACAACCCCCTCTACAATGTTAAGGGGTAGTGGCTAGAACTCTACTCACTTACGTCATCCTAATTTTCTATCAACGTATACGTGAAGGTTGTGTTTCCAAATGCCTATAAGTTCTTACCTTGCGAATCAATCTTGTCAAGTAGAATTTCTTGATTTTACAGTACAATGCCAAGTGGAACAGTTTTCTGCTCAGTTAGCCTTTATTTCTTGCTTTTGTGTTGGTCCAGCCTGCCAACTCATTGTTTAGTTACTTGTGCCAGTTTTGTGCACAGAGGCAATGAAACTGATCAACTTGCTTTGCTTGAATTCAAGGCTAAAATTTCTCATGATCCTCTCCAGGTTTTGAGCTCATGGAATGATTCTATCCACTTCTGCCAATGGAAGGGTGTTATATGCAGTCAGCGTCACCAAAGGGTCACAACATTAGATCTTCGTCAACAGAAACTGGAGGGATCTCTATCACCATCCATTGGCAATCTAAGTTTTCTTAGAGTTCTAAATCTCAATAATAATAGTTTTCGCAATGAAATCCCTTGCGAGACTGGTTATTTGTTCAGGTTACAGATTTTACGCCTCCAAAACAATTCATTTGGAGGGGAAATTCCTAGAAACTTATCAAGTTGTGTCAACCTTGAAGTCCTTGCCATTTCCAACAATAAGCTTGAAGGGACAATTCCAGTGGAGCTTGGATCTTTATCAAAGCTCCGTGGACTCTTATGTACTTTCAAACAATCTGTCTATTAGTGATAACGGATTTGGAGGTATGTTGCCAGAAGTTATAGGAAACATGTCGACCCAACTTAGACTACTATTAGTTGCAAAAAATAAAGTGTTTGGAAAAATCCCAACAGGAGTAGGCAATCTTGTTAACTTAGAGGTTTTAGATCTACGGAGGAACCAATTCACGGGCCATATTCCCAGCAATATTGGGAATCTTCAAAAGCTACAGGTTTTGCAGTTCGCTATGAACAGGTTCTCTGGGGCTATACCATCTTCTCTGGGCAATCTAACATTGTTAAGCAGGCTTAGATTAGACAGAAACAACTTACAGGGGACCATTCCATCAAGTCTTGGGAGATGCACTAATTTAGAATGTCTAGATCTCTCTAGTAACGATCTAAGTGGTACCATACCCCCTGAAGTAATTGGTCTCTCATCCTTGTCAATTTATCTTGATCTGTCTCTAAACCAATTGACTGGTTCCTTGCCCTCAAATGTCGGTAACTTAATAAATCTGGGTTTTCTATCTATATCTGAGAATAAATTGTTTGGTGAAATTCCTGATAGTTTGGGCAGTTGCGTTATTACAACAACTATTGATAAATGGTAATTTCTTTCAAGGGAATATTCCATCATCCTTGAGTTCTTTGAGAGGCATTGATTATCTTGATCTTTCATCCAACAACTTGTCTGGCCAAATATCCAAATTTTTAGTGAACTTACCCTTTTTGATGAATTTAAATTTATCTAATAACGACTTCAAGGGTGAAGTACCAATTGGAGGAGTCTTCAACAACGCAAGTGCTATTTCACTTTCAGGAAACGATAAACTTTGTGGTGGCATAACCGGGTTATATTTATCCAATTGTCCCATCAAAAGATCAAAGCAGACTTGGTCTGTTTCAAAAACAGTGATAATTCTTATAGTTGTTGGAATTTGGTTGCTGACTATGATGTTATGTTTGATAATTATTCATTGGTGGAGAAGAACAAAAAGGAATTCCTCTTCTGCATCACCATTGTTGGCTTCACTTTGATTGGCTCGGGGAGTTTTGGTTATGTGTATAAGGGGATCCTAGACCATAACGAAATGGTAGTGGCAGTGAAGGTTCTTAACCTTCAACATCGAGGAGCTTTTAGGAGTTTCTTGGCTGAATGTGAAGCCTTGAGAAGTATAAGACATCGAAATCTTGTCAAAATAATAACCGCTTGTGCAAGTGTTGATTTCCAAGGAAATGATTTCAAGGCTTTGATCTACGAGTTTATGGTTAATGGGAGCTTGGAGGAGTGGTTGCATCCCAATGTAACTACAGATGTCTTACAAGAGGCGCCGAGGAATCTAAACTTTCTACAAAGACTTGATATTGCTACAAATGTTGCTTGTGCAGTGGATTATCTTCATAACCATGGCCAAACACCAATGGTTCACTGTGATCTCAAGCCAAGCAATGTTCTTCTTGATGATGAGTTGACAGGTCATGTAAGTGACTTTGGATTGGCAAGATTCCTTCTAGAGGGCACCCATAACCTTTCAAGTAATCAAACAAGCTCCATTGGTGTCAGAGGAACTGTTGGTTATGCTGCTCCAGGTAAATACTTTTAACTATTTTATCATTCCTTGAAATTCATATGACTCTTGTATTTCTTTCCTCATTTTTACCTCCTAAAAAATTCCTTAGATGATGTGGTTATACAAGCTAAGCTATATTATTTATAGGGAGTTTCTTTGTACAAATGTATAATATTTCCAATTGCAGAATATGGTATGGGAAGCGAGGTTTCAACTTATGGTGATGTGTACAGTTATGGCATACTCTTATTGGAGACGTTCACAGGGAAGAGGCCAACCGATGAGATGTTTAATAGTGATTTGGATCTTCATAATTTTATGAAGGCAGGTATCCCTGAACGAGTCATTGAAATAGTGGATCCAGTTCTTCTTCTAGAAACAGAAGAAGGACATACGAGCATGAGAAGTCACAACATTCGGGATTGCTTGATTTCAATATTTGGAACTGGAGTCACTTGTTCTTCAAGGTCACCGAGTGAAAGGATGAACATGAATGATGTTACAGACCAGCTGCATTCTATCAAGAGCAAACTTCTTCAAACTCCAAGACAGGGTGAGAGACTACCGTAACTTTATGAGTAATTTTCTTGTGTTTTATAATTAAATGTCTGATACAACTTCAGAATAAGGTTTGTTAAACAATGTCCAACTCGCAATATGTTATAATGAATGTAATTTTATTTTTTACTCATATAATAAATAAATCTAGATTGTCATTGTTTGCCATTAGAAGGTAAGTGCTCAAATTTATATTAAGGAGTGTAGTGTATGAATATTAAGCATAATCAGGAGCATGTATAGTTTAAGATTTTGAAGTTAGTGTAACTGAAACACCAAGTTCTGAAATAAAGAATTATTCTGTTATGAAGTGCAATAATAAAGGTAATCTTTTTCTAGAACAATTTTCGATCTTAGCCTAACACATTAAAGTTTGTCTAAAACAACCAGCTTCAGTACTGCTTTATTGTTGGATTCAAATTAAGTATCACATACGGCTGCCGGCGTAAAACTTTAAATTAGAGTTTTAGTGTGGAAATATAAATTTATCAGAGATTTATAACTTCGTATAAAACGGTTATGTATGCAAATAGTTCTCACTTATTTATATTAATAGGGTATTTATAAAGTTGATTTTTCAAATTTACTCATTCTAGTATTATTATTTAACAAAAAATAATTTATATCTGTCCACTGAAAATTTGAAGGTTTATTGCACTAATTGTATGTATAAAATTTATTTGTTTGGAGTAAAAAGTTTGATTTTTGAAATAGGGTGCACCCTGAAGAGATCAATTCAAATGTAAGATGATTGAGGTTCGTGTGGTTTGATTGTGCCGAATTTTAGAAGTATTAACTATGTGGTGAGTTTGATAATCAATACTATTGATTTGTGATATAAACATTTATAGGATTTTGATAATTTTATATACATAAGATCATATAATTGAGATAACAAGAAGAATTAGAGAATTGTAATTGAAAATGACGGTTTAGGTTATATTGAACGATCATATCTTAGTAGAAGTTGGTAACTATCTTTCTTATAAAAAGAAATTTTAATTCAACAATCATGAACCAATATATAGTGTCATAACATAAACTAGTTTGACAGTGTGTGTGTCTATCTGGCTTTTGACAACATTTTCAAAGGAGGTAGTTTATACTTCATACAAATGACAAATCATTGCAACTTAGTGAAGGCAATTTCCCATAACTGAAGCAGCAATTGGATCTAAAAAGTAAAAATTCCATAGGTTTACGTATTCATATTTCATAGTCAAATAAACCGTACAATCCATCTTTAAGAGTTCCACAAAATCCTGAATTGGCACAAAATTTAGTTCTAAAACCTTCAATTATATTTATAAAAGAGATGATTATGAACCACTTTCCTTGGAATCTGAGGACTAAAGTATGGTCCTAATTAAAGATCTACAAAGCCCTTTTAAATGAACTTATGGCGTTGGGTCGGTAAGTGTGAACCGGTTGGAGAATTCCGAGTTTCCAACACACACAGAATTGGACTGCTTAGCAGACCAGAGTGGGGTCTTAATTAAAGATCCAAAAGCCTTTTACAATGAACAACGAAAGTAGCTAGAAGTCTGCCTAGTAGCAGCCCACATCCTTAATTCTTTATGCACATGACATGACTTGTAGCATTTCCTAAGTGCCTCTTAAAGTTCTGAGCCTGTGAAGAAATCTTGTCAAGTTGAGTTTCTTAATTTCACAATGGAATAATGAGTCCAATAGCTTTCTGCTCGGTTAGCTTTTTTCTCTTGCTTTTATGCTTTTTCAAGCCTGCAAGCTTATGGTTTCTTTGCTTCTGCCAATTCTCTGCTCAAACACGATGAAACCGATTGACCTGCATTGCTTGAATTCAAGGAGAAAGATATTCATGATCCTCTTCTTGGCGTCTATTTTTCTTCCAAAATATGCATACAAAAGCAGAGAAAAGAGAGAAAAAGAACTAACATCTTCTAATGAATAGTCATAACATTAAAAAAATTGCTATTCTAAGTCCCTTAAAAATCAGTTTTGCACAATTTCTGAGCTGCTGGTGTTAATTTAACCACAGAATAGTATGAACTAAACAATTTCCAGTAAGAAAGGTGGATGCACGGAAAATGCTATGATCCCACTGTGCATGCAAGGGACGAATGTTGAATCCATAAATGATTTTATATCACCCTGTAAAAATGGTATGATTCCAAGTTCAAGAATGACTACGCCAGTCTACAGAATCCAGGAATAAATTACCTGCTTAGTAGAAACATTCAACTTGTTAGCCATTTATAATCATATCACCTAATTCTCTATTTTCAACATTCCCATTCACAGAAATGAAAGCTTGACCCACAATGGGTTCCCTAATAGATTCTGTTTTGGAAAGAAAACGCAGGTATTGAGAAAATAAATAGTACCAAAGAAGCTGTGCATCTAAAGAAAGGAATGAAACGTGTTCTTTTGCTTCTTCCTACATTCCTTTATCCAAACATGTTGGAATTGAGAGTCAGCCATCTCACACCAAGCTTCAGCAATCAATGAGTTGCTTGTCATCTTTTTAATTCCAAATTTGAGCTTTCTGGCTTATCAAAAAATTCCACCCAATAAAAAAAAAAAAATAATAAAAAATAAAAAAGAAAAAAAGAAAAGAAGAAGAAGAAGAAGAAGGGGTTTTAACTTACCCACTGTAATTATCAATTATGAACCTCGGCGACACTCTAGCTGCTTGGTATTCTCTAGTAGTACCTGCCAAGCAATTCAATCAATAATCCTAACAATTCATGCAACTAATAATCAAGTATGTTGTTTAGGGAATTAATGAAGCAAATAAACATAAGAATTCCATTAGCAATAATTATAACACAGGTCCCAGATGACAATCAAACTAAATTCACAAAATAAGGACAAGGAAAATTATGAACAGAAAAAAGAAGTTTTTACTTCTCGAATATAATTTGCTACTGCCTTGCAGCCTTCAGTAGCAAGTTGCATGACATCTTCAAATGTATCAGTTGGTAACTTAGCATCCATCTGTGGCAGGAAAATGTCAGAAATGAGAGCTCTAGGAGTAAATTTTTTTCCAAATAACTTGAAAACTCTGATAATCAACATATGCATAAACCTCAATGATGAGGTAATAACGGTACAAAAAACAAAGGATATAATATCAACAGTTAAGATTACATTCCACACTTCAAAAACATTACAAAACTGTGCCAGAAACTAGAATGACAAAAGTGTTCAAAAGAACCTGAACCAGAACCGATATATCTTGTTCAACTAATTGTGATTAATAGAAGCATGCTCTGTTTTAGTTTGAAATTATTTTTCAACCAGCTAGCAACACAACATCAACCATTCATCAAAGGATACCAAATTCATTAAAGATCTAACATGACAGCCTGAGAGAAGGGTTTGGCCTAAACCTGGCTAAAAGAGATTCAGCAATTACAGAGAAAAGAAAGAGAAAAAATTCTAGCAGAGAGACTTAATTTCATGCCATCTGAAAAAGATCAAATGCTAATAACTGGTACGGTTTTAAACCACTGTAGCATAAAGCAAGCACCTTCTTTCTTTTATTTGATTACCATGTGAACCAGGATCAACATTCACTTCTTTGCAACCACATGCTGTATAAATGAAACCAAACAATTCATATAAACCAAAAGAGGCAATTTTTATTGAAGACAATACATGAACCCAACTCCATACATCTAAGATTTAAAGCTATAATGCAAGACATGTAACTTTCATGAGCACAGTCATAAACAAGAAAAGCAGAATCTTAGACAAAAACCTGAAGGAGAGTAACTTTGTCCAATGTAGGTAGAATGCCTACAGTGACATCAGGACCTCCAGCACTATCTTCAACATAATTCAAATCTGCCCACATCACAAATCTTCAGTATGGTAATCAAGTGTACAAAATTTAATACCATACCATATAATAACTAATTGAAAAACAAATCATACTGCTTCAAGAAAAGGGGATCAGGAAAATGACAATACCAAGAAGAGGAATACTATTGAGGTATCCAGCACTACAAGAGGTAACAATATCATGCATTGGAATCCCAGCATCTGCAAGAGCTAATGTTGCAGCATTAATACATGCAGATCGAGTTCCTGCAGACAACAAGTCCCAAATCAACAACATATTCTTTCTTCTTTTTCATGGAAAATGAGCCCTAACACTAATGCTTTAGCAGCTTTTTAGAATTAAATGAAACTGCTAGTCCTAAGCGATTTATGCTGCCTATCAATAGAGGGTAGCAATCGATGTTCACATAGTCAATGCCACCCCAAAACTGATCAAGTATGGGGTAATCCAGTTACGGGTGGTGAAAAAGGGACAAAGAACTTGAGAGACCCAAAGAAAGAGGGCATGGTGAGACAGGGTAAGACATCTGAAAGATTAACTCCAGTTTAGAACTTGAAGAGAATATGTCAATTGTACTTCCTCTCTTCGACCTCTTTCATATACATAGATCAGCTCTTATGTCCGCTTATGTTCTTTTTCAATGCAAAAAGAAAAGTAAAAGAAATGGAAGTCTGCAAGTCCATCACCAATTGCGAGGCAAGGGTAACCACAAAGAAAGTCTACATGGAGCAACCACACTACCCCTTTAACTAATGAAATAAACCCTAGTTCACTAATAAACCAAGTACAATGAAATCTAAAATTATTTTTTTCCGGTTTCCATTCCATTGGCTCAGCTCAAGGAGCCCTTTTTTGGGGGAGGTCCGGAGGGGGTGGGGAGAAATTATATAAATGCACAGTCATATACTGAGGTATGAGTTACCTCCATCTGCTTGTAGAACTTGTACAAAAATATCTATCTGCAGAATCAACAAAAAGTATTTAGAAAAAACCAATCCTGTTTAGGAACTAGAAAGGGTTGCCGGTGATCTGTAACATACCTGAGAACGAGGCATTAAATTGGTCAATATGCATGCTTCCATTGTCTGACGAATAACAAGAGATATCTCTGTTGATCGCCTAGGTGTACCATGAAAACAGTCATGTACTAAACAACATAATATACTACTAAAGTACTATTCATCAATTAAGTTGTACAAAAAGTGAAGTAATTGTTCAAAACAAATCACAGATACATCTAAAAGCTCTAAAACTTATTGCTAACAACAAGTTCCAAACAAACACAAATGTCAATTCCTCCTTAAGTAACAGTTCACTCTTTTTAGAATATTTTTTCCAAAAACCCTTAAAATCAACCATTATTTATGCATAACCCAGTGAACCTCAGATTAAAAAATTACAAGCCAAACTTTATCCATATTCCGGTGCATGTACAGTCAATTTTCCACCCAATTCAATACATGTAAGCAATTTGTATACTGATGTGAAGACTTGTAAATTAAATTTTAAAACATATGAAAGACTATAAAGAATATGTTCTAACCTGTCACCCTTCGGTTTTCTCATACGATCTCCAGTACTAAAATTAGCCATACTGTACTCACAGCGCACCTGAGAAATACACAAATACAGATTATCAGAGTTATTTAAATTAAGACATTAGAAGTTTTACTGAGAATGTTACCAGTGCTTGGTCAGTAATTTGCTGGCTCCTATTTTGAACCTAAAAAAAAAAGTAAATTGCTTACAGAATGAGGATCACTTTTGCCCTATTCACAGAGAGAGAGAGAGAGAGAGAAGGGTACCTCTCTAGGGCCATAGACAGCGGCAATAACTTTTGTGTTACCCATCTCAAACATAGCAGAACTAGAAATCGAAAGGCAAAGTAAATTGAAATTGAAATTAATCTGGAGACAAATAATTAAAAGAAAAGGTAGTAAATTACCCATCTGCTTTGGCAACGACACCAATCTCAGCTCGTAGTTGCCTCATCTAGGATTGTGAAAACAAATATGAAATTTAATATTGGAAAAATGAGTATAAAAGGAACCAAATAACGAGAAAAGAGATTTATACTTCCACAGGGCGGCGACCATCTAATCGAAGTCCTTCAGGGCTTACATATTCCATCTCTATCAACTATGTGAAAGTGGAAACAGGATAGAATAATGGAGGGTTAGTTTCCACTTCACAAAACAACCTCTTTCTAAACTAAAACTATAACTACCAAACACCCACTTCCTGTTTCACTGCTTATATATAACTATAATGTCCATAAAATTGTATCGGAATCGAATTGTGTTCTCCCAATATTTAACAAAATAAACAAAGCCCTAACTCATATGAACCTAATACAACTATCAAACAAAAAAGTGAAACCCAGTAAAACAAAAGGAAGAAAGAAGTAACTTACATCGCTCAAAGGTTTATGATAAAGCGGTAAACAGAAAGGGCAAAAACCCTAAGTTCAACAAGTTTCGCTCGCCCGCCGATGCCACAGTTGAGTCAATTGAGTTACTTGAGTTTGCAGAGGATGAACTCACTTGGGCCGATTGTATCATTTGAAATAAGAGCTGAATGAGATTTTAAATCCTGAGGTTTGGAAAAAAACGTTTGGTCCAACAAAATCTGAAAAAAGTCATTATAGTCCCTATCAGACTAGAGATGGATTCGAGCCGTACCGAGCCAAGTCAAGTATCTGGCTACTTGAGCTCGACTTGGTAGCTATAGTATCAAACTCAATCTCGAGCTCAAGCTTGGTCGAGCCTGAAGTTATGAGTTCGAGCTCAAGTTTGAGTACTGAAATGGATACTCAAGGTCGAACTCGAGCTAGGTCTAAGCTCGATTAGGATTAATTTCGATCGCTGATCGAGCTCGAATAAAAAACTTCATTCCAGGGTGTGACAGAGTTAGGGCATGTTTAAGTTCCACATTCAATTATTTGCTTACCTTAATAAATATAAACAATCCAAAATGGAAATAAAACAAAAACAAAAAAAAAATGAAAGAGCCATACAAGACTAAAATCAAGAAAACAATATGGCCTCGATATAATTAGCGAACTAATTTTTTTTAATTGGATTAAAATTAGCATCTAATTGCAGGGATTATGAGACAAGTTTACACTTACATTAACAATTTTAATCTCCAAACAATTTTTCATATAAAAGATATCTCTTACAATTACGATTTATCTTCCTTTGAAAATCAATTCATACATATTAATTATAATTAGCATGAACCGAGAATTAATTAAAGTGACAATTTATGGTGCATCTGAAATTAATTATTCAAGAATTGAAGATTCTTTCTCCCATAATCTAATTTTCATTTATGATTATAATATTGTAGTATATATAAATGTACATATAAATTAAAGTAGTAAAACAATATTAAGTATATAATATCTATGTATATTAATGTAGTTAAAAATAAATATATTATAGTGTACTAAACATAATATAGAAAAAGAAATAATTGATGCGATTGAAATAATTAAATATATAGTTGAAGTGTGGTGAGAATGCTTGCAAACTAGCCAAGCTTAGTCAACCACCGTCGGGTTCAAGTTCGAGCCTAGGAAAACCATGTTCGTATTCAAGTTGGGTAAATTGATGGGTGTTCGAGTTTAGTTTGTTTGTTATCTAAGCCTCGCATCAAAGTTCGAATTCGAGCTTTAATAACTGCTTGAACTCTTATTCAATCTCACCCTATAATTACTTCAGTTTATTCACATTCAGTTTTAAAATCAAATTTCCATAAGCTTCAAAGTTCTAGAATGCGTGATCAAATTTTAAATCAAATTATAGAACCTGATTGCAATTGCATTATCAAACTAAACTAAACAATGTTAATCAAGTACTCAGCAACATTATAAACAAGTTGAAAATTGCTCACAGTAGCCCTCTCAGATCAAATTTCTTGCATCATGTAAAATTTTGGTTGTATGCCCCTCCTCCATGTGTATATCAAAATCATGTCTTAATACCACAATATATATATATGTACAATTGTACATCATATATATGTATTTATTTTCTCCTTAACATACATAACACAGCTAAAGGCTAAAGCTAATAAGTACTATTATTATAATTTGTTGTATTTATATATTATAATGAATAAATATATAATGGACTAATGGAAATATTCAAAATTTTCAGACAAATCAATGGTATTTTTCAGTATTATTTAAAACGAGGGTAAATTTTTTAAAATAAATATCAAAGCTTTTGAAATAATCTTGAAGGAGCAATTAATATATATAAATATATGATTAATATACATAATCAACATGTATTTTGATGTTCACGAGCTTCATAGCTCGAAAGCTCGTGAATTTTAAACTATTCGCAAGCTCTAGAGCTTGAAAGCTCGTTCAATATCTCACCGATCTCGAACTATTCACGAGCCTAAGAGCTCGAAAACTTGTTAACTATTTGTGAATTTTCAACCGCTCGCAAACTTTCAAGTCGAGTACACTACCATGTTCAATACTCAGTTCGAACATTACTCGAACTATTTGAGTTCGAGTTCAATTCAACAAATTCCGAGCCGAATACAAACTTCAACCGAGCTGAACTCGAATTGTTCATGAGCAGCTCGGTTCGGTTGTAGGCCTAGGTGAGAAGGCATGAATATATATATATTTTTTTGTGAATTTAAGCCCATGTGAGGCTCCACATAACATAAAGTGGGAAAAATCCCCCTCCACAAAACGTAGATCATAATCGTTAACTTCAAAAATAGTATGGGAGAAACAAACTAAATAGTGCCAGAAAGGAAGATTAAAAACATTAAATCTTAACAAATATCTTCCAAGCAAACAGTATGACCAAGTTAGCATAAAGTTTCACCAAAATTTCAGTTTTTCATCAAGGTATTCAGCTAAAAACCGAACTGAACATGCAAAACATAATCTCAAAAGATTATCTTAAAGGTTTTAACAAAGGATTAAATTAAAACTCAGTTATTTTACTCCATTTCAAAGCAACAACCTCTTACCTATGCTCACCAGTCATGCCACTAATTTTCACTAAATAATCATCCACTAATTTTCACATAGTTCAAGGGTTTCATAATTTGTAAAGTTTGAGTTGATATCATTTCAATATAAGCATGTACAGATTAGAGAACTTAGGAAGCTGAATCTCTTAACAAAGTGTTGGCTTTACTGGACCCGTGAAATGATAACACTAGCAATGAAAACACCCATATGCATAACACATCATTAAATCTAAGAGTGACAGAGTTTTCTTCTTTTGTAAATTCCACATATATAAACCAACCAAGAACCATTTATTTTTTCTCACTTACTGTTCTGCTTAACCTGATACGACGTTATACCTACCATGGAATAGTCTGAAGATCAATTATCGATTATCGAAGCCTTGGAAGTGGATTCCCCACTAAAATTTTTGAAAAGGAAATAAGTGGGTAGTGGACAGCTTCATTTTTTAGGTGCCATTCAATGTTCAGGGTCCTAATGATTTAGCAAATTGATCTATAAAACTGGTGAATATTCCAGCATATTATTTGTCTATTTGGGTTAATATTCCTGCCTATCTAACTTAACCATCTGCTGAAATGCCATTCACGCCAACCCACAATTACTGTTTTTGGATGAAGAAGAATATAGTATACAACTCATGCAAAGTCATTCAAAATAATCAAGGGAAGCTAAACAAATCCATTTATGATCATCAAGAAATAACTGCTTACACTGTATAAAAATGAAACTCTCTAATGAGAAAACTCATTTCACTGAGTCAATTGGGGTCATTTAATTCGTTGCCAACTTTCAATGAACTTGGAACAATAAACCAAAATTTTCCACAGACACGACAAGATATATTCATAAAGTCATGTACAATGAGTCAAGTCTTTGCCTAAAGTAAAATTTGCAATGATTAGATCCACTGAACAATAAAAAATCGTATTATATTTTATGATATTTTTTATTTAAGAAATTAAGAATTTCAAAATTATAAAAAAAATATATATATATATATACGGATTTCTGGGATTGGACTATTTTGGCCTAGGTTGCAGTTGAAGAATCAACCATTATTCTTGTTAGTTTTACACAGGAAATGTCCACAGAAAAAAAGAAAAAAATAAAAAAGGAACATGTTAATTGGGCATGCTCAGAACCAAAAATAAGATCTACCCACAACCTACTAAAATTCTCACGTTGATGTTTAATTTAGCATAAATTGAAGATTGACTTCATACAGACACATACACAATACAATTTCCTGAGAAAGGAGAGTATAGTGAACTCCACCTATAATCAACAATTGAAAAAAGAAACTCCACTATAAATGTGATAATTTGGAAAAGGCTGAATGTTTGTGATTGAGAAAATGGGGTTATCAGACTTGACATGTTTTTGCTAGAGACCGGAGTAAAAAATACGATGAAGAAGAAAGTTCTGCAGAGGTTCAAAGAAAAAAACACCTTATTAACCAATCATCAAGTCAACTTTCCACATACTCATTTAAAATTGTAGGAGAATGACCTTTACACATGTAACGTGATTGAAGGATGAACTATTAGACTAAACGTGGTTCTAATTAAAGACCCACAACCCCTTTTACAATGTTAAGGGGTAGTGGGCAAGCTTGCGTCTTAATTTTCTATCAACGTATACATGAAGGTTGTGTTTCCAGAATGCCTATAAGTTCCTAGTGTCACGGGTTGGGAGTTTCACACCCAAAAGGCTAACCTATTAGGTGGAGGGACTCCTCCCATTTATAAGCCCAAGACCTCCCCAATATGCTTTCAATGTGGGATTTGTTACATTCTCCCCCACCCAATCCTGTGACGCCCTCGTCACAGGTGGGGTCCCCTGCCTACCCATCCACCTCACTCTCGTGTGGACCCACAATCACACATGGACGCCCCTGCGTGGGCGCTTGACGGGACATCGAAAGACAAATTGGGTCTGCTCTGATACCACTTGTCATGGGCTGGGAGTTTCACACCCAAAAGGCTAACCTATTAGGTGGAGGGACTCCTCCCATTTATAAGCCCAAGACCTCCCCAATATGCTTTCAATGTGGGATTTGTTACACTAGTCTGTGAAGCTATCTTGTCAAGTTGGGTTTTCTTAATTTCATATATAGTTCAACGATGAGTCGAACAGTCTTCTGCTCGTTTAGCTTTTATCTGCTGCTTTTATTTTGGTCAAGCCTGCTATCTTATGGTTCAGTTGCTTCTGCCAGTTCTGTGCTCAAAAGCAATGAAACTGATAAACTTGCACTGCTTGAATTCAAGGCTAAAGTAGCTCATGATCCTCTTCAAGTTTTGAGCTCATGGAATGATTCCAATCTTTTTTGCCAATGGGAGGGTGTTACATGCAGTCGGCGTCACCAAAGGGTGACCAAATTACGTCTTCCTCATTCAAAATTGGAGGGGTCTCTATTGCCATCTATTGGAAATCTGAGTTTTCTTAGAGTTTTGAATCTCAATAACAACAGCTTCCGCAATGAAATCCCTCACGAGATTGGCTATTTGTTTAGGTTACAATATTTAAACCTACAAAATAATTCATTCAGAGGGGAAATTCCTAGCAACTTATCAGGTTGTGCCAACCTTGAATGGTTTAGTGTTGGCAATAATAAGATGGTAGGGAAACTTCCAGGGGAGCTTGGATCTTTATCAAAGCTTCGTGGACTCTATGTATTCAGCAACAATCTAACAGGAGAAGTGCCTATTTCCTTTGGCAATTTGTCATCTCTTGAGATACTTTCAGCAAGTATAAATCAATTTGAAGGAAGAATTCCAGCAACACTTGGTCGGTTGAAAAGGATCAAGGTTATGGCATTTGGAGGAAATAAGCTATCAGGTACTATTCCTCCCTCAATCTACAATATATCTTCGCTTGAGGAAATCGATTTTGAGGTGAACCAACTTAAAGGGAGTCTTCCCTTAGACTTAGGCTTCACTCTTCCTAGCCTTGTAGTATTAAGTGTTGCTACCAACCAATTTACCGGACCCATTCCTCCTTCAATATCAAATGCCTCAAATCTAACGGCACTTGCTATTTCAGACAATAGATTTAGTGGAAAGGTGCCCACATTCGAGAACCTACATAAACTACGAAGAATTAATATTTATTCTAATCAATTAGGACATGGGGAAGAAGATGACTTGAAGTTTCTCAATTCTTTGCAAAATGCTACGACCTTAGAGGAATTGGATATTAGTTATAACAACTTTGGATGTATCTTGCCAGACATTATAGGAAATTTTTCGACCCAACTCATATCACTATCGGTTGATAACAATCAAATGTTTGGAAAAATCCCAATAGGAGTGGGCAATCTTGTTAACTTTGAGGTTTTAGATCTATGGATGAACCAATTCACGGGCTATATTCCCAGCAGTATTGGGAATCTTCAAAAGCTACAGACTTTGCAGGTCCATGGGAACAAGTTCTCTGGGGATATACCATCTTCTCTAGGCAATCTAACATTGTTAAGATGGCTTAGATTAGACAGAAACAACTTACAGGGGACCATTCCATCAAGTCTTGGGAGATGCACTAATTTAGAAGATTTAGATCTCTCTCGTAACAATCTAAGTGGTACCATACCTCCTGAAGTAACTAGTCTCTCATCCTTGTCAATTTATCTTGATCTATCTCTAAACCAATTGACTGGTTCCCTACCCTCAAATGTTGGTAACTTTACAAATCTAGGTGTTCTAGATATATCTGAGAATAAATTGTCTGGTGAAATTCCTGGTAGTTTAGGCAGTTGCGTTAGCTTGCAACAACTAGCCATGGATGGTAATTTCTTTGAAGGGAATATCCCATCATCTTTGAGTTCTTTGAGAGGCATTGATTATCTTGATCTTTCATCCAATAACTTGTCTGGCCAAATACCCAAATATTTAGTGAACTTTCCCTTTTTGATGAACCTAAATTTATCTGACAACGACTTCGAGGGTGAGGTACCAATCGGTGGAGTCTTCAACAACGCAAGTGCAATTTCACTTTCGGGAAACGATAAACTTTGTGGTGGCATAACTGAGTTACATTTATCCAAGTGTCCCGTCAAAGGATCAAAGAAAACTCGGTTTGTTTCAAAAAAAGTGATAATTCCTATAGTTGTTGGAATTTTGTTGTTGACTATGATGTTATGTTTGATAATTATTCGCTGGTGGAGAAGAACGAAAAGGAATTCCTCTTCTGCATCACCATTGTTGGCTTCACTTCTACAAGTGTCCTATGATAATCTGCTGAAAGCAACTGCTGGTTTCTCTTCAGAAAATTTGATCGGTTCAGGGAGTTTTGGTTATGTGTATAAGGGGATCCTAGACCATAACGAAATGGTAGTGGCAGTGAAGGTTCTCAACCTTCAACATCGAGGAGCTTCTAGGAGTTTCTTGGCAGAATGTGAAGCCTTGAGAAGTATCAGACATCGAAATCTTGTCAAAATAATAACTGCTTGTGCAAGTGTTGATTTCCAAGGAAATGATTTCAAGGCTTTGATCTATGAGTTTATGGTTAATGGGAGCTTGGAGAAGTGGTTGCATCCCAATGTAACTACAGATGTATTACAAGAGGCGCCCAGGAATCTAAACTTTCTACAAAGTATTGATATTGCTATCAATGTTGCTTGTGCAGTGGATTATCTTCATAACCATGGCCAAACACCAATGGTTCATTGTGATCTCAAGCCAAGCAATGTTCTTCTTGACGATGAGTTGACAGCACATGTAGGTGACTTTGGATTGGCAAGATTCCTTCTAGAGGGCACCCATAGTCTTTCAAGTAATCAAACAAGCTCCATTGGTGTAAGAGGAACTGTTGGTTATGCTGCTCCAGGTAAATACTTTGAACTATATATTTTATCATTCCTTGAAATTCATATGACTCATGTATTTCTTTTCTCATTTTCACCTGCAAAAAAATTCCGTAGACAATGTGGTTATACAAACTATATTATTTATAGGGAAGTTCTTTGTACAAACATATGATATTTCCAATTGCAGAGTACGGTATGGGAAGTGAGGTTTCAACTCAGGGTGATGTGTACAGTTATGGAATACTCTTATTGGAGATGTTTACAGGGAAGAGGCCAACCGATGAGATGTTTAATGGTGACATGAATCTTCATGATTTTGTCAAGGCAGCTATCCCTGAACGAGTCATTGAAATAGTAGATCCAATTCTTCTTCAGGAAACAGAAGAAGGACAAACAAGCTTGAGAAGTCACAGTGTTCGGGAGTGCTTGATTGCGATATTTGGAATTGGAGTCACTTGCTCTTCAAGGTTGCCGAGTGAAAGGATGAACATGGATGATGTTACAACCCAACTGCATTCTATCAAAAACAAACTTCTACAAACTCCAAGACGGGGTCAAAGGCTACTGTAACTATATAAGTAATTTTCTTGCGTTTCATAATTAAATATGCTATACAACTTTAGAATAAGTTTTGTTAAACAATGTTCAACTCGCAATATGTTATAAATGGGTGTAATTTTTTTTTTTTTCACTCATATAATAAATAAATCTGTGCACTCATTGTTTGCCCTTAGAAGGTAAGTGTTCAAATTTATATCAACCAGTGTAGTGTATGATAAAACTTTGAATTTGAATTTTATATTGTGGAAATATAAATTTACGAGTCAATTGGGGCCATTATGGATGCAAACTTTAAATGAAATTAACTGTACTTATTGTATGTATAAAATTTATTAGTTTGGAGATAAAAGTTTGATTTTTGAAATGGGGTGCACCTTCAAATGTAAGATGATTGAGATTTGCATGGTTTGATTGTGACGAATCTTACAAGAATTAACTATTGATTTGTGATATAGAAGTCGATAGAGATTTTGATAATTTTAACATAAGATCATATAATTGAAATAAGAAGAAGAACTAAAGAAATTTTTATTCAACAATCATGAACCAATATTTAGTGTCATTTTTCAAAGGAGGTAGTTAACACAAGTCATTGCAACTTAGATAAGACCATTTCTCATAAGTTCTCAGCCTGTGAAGAAATCTTGCCGGGTTTTTTAACTTCACAATTGAATGATGAGTCCAATGGGTTTCTGCTCAGTTAGCTTTTATGTTTTTCAAGCCTACAAAGCTTATAATATCTTTGCTTCTGCCAATTCTGTGCTCAAACGCAAGGAAACTGATCTGACTTGCATTGCTTGAATTCAAGGAGAAAGTTATTCATGATCCTATTCATGGCATCTATTTTTTCTTCTTTCTTCGAAAATATGCATACAAAAGCAGAGAAAAGAGAGAAATAACATCTTCTAATGAATAATCTTAACATTACAAATTTTTTTTTTTTTTTTTGGGTCTCAGTACTTGCTATTCTAAGTCCCTTAAAAATCAGTTTTGCACAATTTCTGAGCTGCTGGTGGATGCACGGAAAATGCTATGATCCCACTGTGCATATGCAAGGGACGAATGTTGAATTAAGGAGACATATCACTTTTGCAATCCATAAATGATTTGATATCACCCTAAAAAAATGATACGATTCCAAGTCCAAGAATGACTAGGCCAGTCTACAGAATCCAGGAATTAATTACCTGCTTTGTAGAAACATTCAACTTGTTAGCCATTTATAATAATCATATCACCTAAGTCTCTATTTTCAACATTCCCATTCACAGAGATGAAAGTTAAACTGCAACGGATTCCCTAATAGATTCTGTTTTGGAAAGAAAAAGCAGGTATTGAGAAAATACATAGTACCAAAGAAGCTGCATCTAAAGAAAGGAATGAAATGTGTTCTTTTTCTTTCTTTATACATTCCTTTATCCAACAAGTTGGAATTGAGATTCAGCCATCTCACACCAAGCATCAGCAATCAATGAGTAGCTTGTTTTTTTAATTCCAAATTTGAGCTTTCTGGTTTATCAAAAAATTCCCCCCAACCAAAATAAAAATAAATAAATAAATAAATAAAGAAGGGGTTTTAACTTACCCACTGTAATTAGCAATTATGAACCTTGGCGACACTCCAGCTGCTTGGTATTCTCTAGTAGTACCTGCCAAGCAATTCAATCAATGATCCTAACAATTCATGCAAGCAATAATCAAGTATGTTGTTTAGGGAATTAATGAAGTAAATAAACAAATGAATACCATTAGGAATAATTATAACACATAGGTCCCAGAAGACAATCAAACTCAATTCACAAAATCAAGACAAGGAAAATTATGAACAGAAAAAAGAAGTTTTTACTTCTCGAATATAATTTGCTACTGCCTTGCAGCCTTCAGTAGCAAGTTGCATGACATCTTCNTTCAACTTGTTAGCCATTTATAATAATCATATCACCTAAGTCTCTATTTTCAACATTCCCATTCACAGAGATGAAAGTTAAACTGCAACGGATTCCCTAATAGATTCTGTTTTGGAAAGAAAAAGCAGGTATTGAGAAAATACATAGTACCAAAGAAGCTGCATCTAAAGAAAGGAATGAAATGTGTTCTTTTTCTTTCTTTATACATTCCTTTATCCAACAAGTTGGAATTGAGATTCAGCCATCTCACACCAAGCATCAGCAATCAATGAGTAGCTTGTTTTTTTAATTCCAAATTTGAGCTTTCTGGTTTATCAAAAAATTCCCCCCAACCAAAATAAAAATAAATAAATAAATAAATAAAGAAGGGGTTTTAACTTACCCACTGTAATTAGCAATTATGAACCTCGGTGACACTCCAGCTGCTTGGTATTCTCTAGTAGTACCTGCCAAGCAATTCAATCAATGATCCTAACAATTCATGCAAGCAATAATCAAGTATGTTGTTTAGGGAATTAATGAAGTAAATAAACAAATGAATACCATTAGGAATAATTATAACACATAGGTCCCAGAAGACAATCAAACTAAATTCACAAAATCAAGACAAGGAAAATTATGAACAGAAAAAAGAAGTTTTTACTTCTCGAATATAATTTGCTACTGCCTTGCAGCCTTCAGTAGCAAGTTGCATGACATCTTCAAATGTATCAGTTGGTAACTTAGCATCCATCTGTCGCAGGAAAATGTCAGAAATGAGAGCTCTAGGAGTAAATTTTTTTCCAAATAACTTGAAAACTCTGATAATCAACATATGCATAAACCTCAATGATGAGGTAATAACGGTACAAAAAACAAAGGATATAATGTCAACAGTTAAGATTACATTCCACACTTCAAAAACATTACAAAACTGTGCCAGAAACTAGAATGACAAAAGTGTTCAAAAGAACCTGAACCAGAACCGATATATCTTGTTCAACTAATTGTGATTAATAGAAGCATGCTCTGTTTTAGTTTGAAATTATTTTTCAACCAGCTAGCAACACAACATCAACCATTCATCAAAGGATACCAAATTCATTAAAGATCTAACATGACAGCCTGAGAGAAGGGTTTGGCCTAAACCTGGCTAAAAGAGATTCAGCAATTACAGAGAAAAGAAAGAGAAAAAATTCTAGCAGAGAGACTTAATTTCATGCCATCTGAAAAAGATCAAATGCTAATAACTGGTACGGTTTTAAACCACTGTAGCATAAAGCAAGCACCTTCTTTCTTTTATTTGATTACCATGTGAACCAGGATCAACATTCACTTCTTTGCAACCACATGCTGTATAAATGAAACCAAACAATTCATATAAACCAAAAGAGGCAATTTTTATTGAAGACAATACATGAACCCAACTCCATACATCTAAGATTTAAAGCTATAATGCAAGACATGTAACTTTCATGAGCACAGTCATAAACAAGAAAAGCAGAATCTTAGACAAAAACCTGAAGGAGAGTAACTTTGTCCAATGTAGGTAGAATGCCTACAGTGACATCAGGACCTCCAGCACTATCTTCAACATAATTCAAATCTGCCCACATCACAAATCTTCAGTATGGTAATCAAGTGTACAAAAATTAATACCATACCATATAATAACTAATTGAAAAACAAATCATAATGCTTCAAGAAAAAGACGAGGAAAATGACTATACCAAGAAGAGGAGTACTATTGAGGTATCCAGCACTACAAGAAGTAACAATATCACGCATTGGAATCCCAGCATCTGCAAGAGCTAATGTTGCAGCATTAATACATGCAGATCGAGTTCCTGCAGACAACAAGTCCCAAATCAACAAGAAATTCTTTCTTCTTTTTCATAGAAAATGAGCCCTAACACTAACGCTTTAGCAGCCGTTTAGAATTAAATGAAACTGCTGGTCCTAAGCGATTTATGCTGCCTATCAATAGAGGGTAGCAATCGATGTTCACATAGTCAATGCCACCCCAAAACTGATCAAGTATGGGGTAATCCAGTTACGGGTGGTGAAAAAGGGACAAAGAACTTGAGAGACCCAAAGAAAGAGGGCATGGTGAGACAGGGTAAGACATCTGAAAGATTAACTCCAGTTTAGAACTTGAAGAGAATATGTCAATTGTACTTCCTCTCTTCGACCTCTTTCATATACATAGATCAGCTCTTATGTCCGCTTATGTTCTTTTTCAATGCAAAAAGAAAAGTAAAAGAAATGGAAGTCTGCAAGTCCATCACCAATTGCGAGGCAAGGGTAACCACAAAGAAAGTCTACATGGAGCAACCACACTACCCCTTTAACTAATGAAATAAACCCTAGTTCACTAATAAACCAAGTACAATGAAATCTAAAATTATTTTTTTCCGGTTTCCATTCCATTGGCTCAGCTCAAGGAGCCCTTTTTTGGGGGAGGTCCGGAGGGGGTGGGGAGAAATTATATAAATGCACAGTCATATACTGAGGTATGAGTTACCTCCATCTGCTTGTAGAACTTGTACAAAAATATCTATCTGCAGAATCAACAAAAAGTATTTAGAAAAAACCAATCCTGTTTAGGAACTAGAAAGGGTTGCCGGTGATCTGTAACATACCTGAGAAAGAGGCATTAAATTGGTCAATATGCATGCTTCCATTGTCTGACGAATAACAAGAGATATCTCTGTTGATCGCCTAGGTGTACCATGAAAATAGTCATATATAAAACAACAAAATCTACTCCTAAAATAATAATCATCAATTAAGATGTACCAAAAGCAAAGTAATTGTTCAAAACAAATCACAGATACATCCAAAGGCTCTAAAACTTATTGCTAACAACAAGTTCCAAAACAAACACAACTGTCAATTCCTCCATGAGTAACAATTCACTCTTTTTAGAATATTTTTTCCCAAAAACCTGAAAATCAACCATCATTTAGGCATAACCCAATGAACCTCAGATTAAAAAATTACAAGCCAAACTTTATCCATATCCCGGTGCATGTACAGTCAATTTTCCACCCAATTCAATACATGTAAGCAATTTGTATACTGATGTGAATACTTGTAAATTAAGTTTTAACACATATTACAGACTATAAAGAATATGTTCCAACCTGTCACCCTTCGGTTTTCTCATACGATCTCCAGTACTAAAATTAGCCATGCTGTACTCACAGCGCACCTGAGAAGTATACAAATACAGATGATCAGAGTTATTTAAATTAAGACATAAGAAGTTTTATTGAGAATGTTACCAGTGCTTGGTCAGTAATTTGCTGGCTCCTATTTTGAACCTGAAAAACACAGTAAATTGCTTACAGAATGAGCATCACTTTTGACCAATTCACACACACACACACACACACACACACACACAGAGCAGGGTACCTCTCTTGGGCCATAGACAGCAGCAATAACTTTTGTGTTACCCATCTCAAACATAGCAGAACTACAAATCACAGGGCAAAGTAAATAAAAATTGAAACTAATCTGGAAACAAATAATTAGAAGAAAAGGTGGTAAATTACCCATCTGCTTTGGCAACGACACCAATCTCAGCTAGTAGTTGCCTCATCTAGGATTGTGAAAACAAATACAAAATTTAATATTGGAGAAATGAGTATAAAAGGAACCAAATAACGAGAGAAGAGATTTATACTTCCATAGGGCGGCGACCATCCAATCGAAGTCCTTCAGGGCTTACATATTCCATCTCTATCAACTATGTGAAAGTGGAGACAGGATAGAACAATTGAGGGTTAGTTCCACTTCACCTAAAAAACCTTTATCTGAATTGTTACAATAGAAGCTTGAAGACCGCTATATGATCCAAATGAAAATTCTTTAATACAAATATTTCAGATTCAAAGCAATTTTTAATAACCGGCCCGGGATGAAACCCGGCAAAGTGGCCGAGTTGAGAGTTGACTGATTGAACCGGTCTGACCAGCGTGTCAGACTGGTGATGTCATCATACTGATGTCAGCATGATATGTCATGCTGACATCAGCCTGATGACGTTATCCAATAGGAAAAAATGAAGAAAAAAATTAATCCTATGAGAAAATAAAAATAATACAGATTGTAGTTCATTTCAACATGAAAAAAAATGCAGATTGCAGTCTTGCAGCAAAATAAATAATGCAGATTGTAGTTCATTTCAACATGAAAAAAAATGCAGATTGCAGTCTTGCAAACTTTGCTGCAAACTGTACATATTTACAACCTTACAAAAACCAATAACCATCATTCTTATGCATTACAAACTTACAAAAATTGCGTTACAAACTTGAACACTGTTGTAACACTGAACATCTATGATTCTGATGCACATATTTACTTGGTCATGTTTTCTAATAGCAATTTATTTATTTATTAAATTTTTGTTGGAAAGAATAATAGTAAAACCATCTAAATAGCCATAAGAAAAACCAATATCCAACACAATTTCTCTGCATTCAAGTCTCTCTTCCATTCTACAATTCTAACAGCTTCACTCACAACACTATTCTAACCAGCAGTCCATTCTCCTCCACCTACACACAATATACACTCTTATCGGCACATGAATCCCAACAACTATTAGCATTTTCCTAAAGTACTCATTGGCAGCTTGATTACAAAAGTTAGTCTCCACCTTAATAGTGATTTACTAATCAAAATCAACAAAACAAATACACACAAAAAACCACAGAAACAGAGCAACTCTGATGATAAATTTGGTCAATTGCTCCTTGGCCTCATTCCTTTACTCTGATTCACTGTTTAATGAAATTGAATTACAAAATTTTCACATGGAGAGGCAAATCATCCAAATAATGTCCGATTGTATTGAATATTGATCCTAAACTCGTTTTTCTTTAAACTTGGACTCGATTACTTTTCTGTTTGCTATAACTCTAAAAGATTCTAGAAAAAAAAAAAAAATTGATATCAGAATTCATCAACAATATGAAATCATACTCAACATCATTGCAGTAATTTTATTAAAAAACAAAACCAAAAGATTACCTGGTTAAACCAACTCGTGGAGGCGACAAACGTCACAGCAGGTTGCCGGTATCAAACAGAGACTAAGGATTTCAAAGATTAAGAGTCGAAAGGATTCTGTTTTGTTAATTTTACTCAACGTTTAGTAAATTAGGATTCAAGAATCGTCCAAAGACGAAGAGTTTTGTAGATTGAGATTCAAAAGCAGACAAAGTGAAGATGAAATGAGATGAGTACCTCGTCTGACAGTGACTGCAGTGCTGCCGGCAGCCGTGGTCGATTGAAGAACGTGAACCTGGAAGAGAGGGATTCGTTCGTCGATTGAAAATGGTAAAGGAATTTGGAAAATTAGAATTGAAGAAGGGGAATAAGAGTTCACCCTGTTTTGGGTTAAAACTGGTTGGACCGGTGTTGGCTACAGTAACACCAGTCCAACCATTAGTTTTTGGGAATCTTTTTGCTTGAAATATTTACTTGTCAGAAGATGAAATCACATGAGGACTGTGTTCAGTGGAACAGGAGGTATTGCAGAGGGAGATTGGAAGGCTACGAGCCTTGTACCAGCAGCAGCAACAGCAACCACCACCACCTTACTAGTCATCGACGCTCTAGCAGCAGAGACCAGTTTGCGAAGCTATCCTTGAAACACAAGGATGCAAATTCTGGCCATGACTCTGTGACTAGTCCACTCCGCATTTTAAGTAGTTGATTTAGCTATTACATTTTTCCTTCATGAGTTCTTTAGATAGTTGATTTAGCTAGTACATTTTTCCTTCATGAGTTCAATTCTGCACAATTCTGCCAATATCTTAGACTTAATAATAATGTGGTGGAGCTTAAGTTTTTAATGTTTAGACATTTTTAGCATTAAAAATTAACTACCCACATGAGATTTGGAAGATAATGAGAGAGTGGATTAAATTAAACAAGCTTGGATTTATTAGGATAGTGTGAGATGGGTTGCCAAATAGCAAAGTCTAAACAAAACCTGAACTAATCTGAAATTTGTTTATTTGATGTTTAAATCTCAGTCACATTCACATAACTTATGGATTTATATATATTTTGTGGAACACATTTCATATATTAATTAATAATGATCATTAACAAAAGATTATCTTAAAGGTTTTAACAAAGGATTAAATTAAAACTCAGTCACATTTCTTTTATAATTGAGAATATGATTCAGTTATTTTACTCCATTTCAATGCAACAACCCCTTACCTACGCTCACCAATCATGCCACTAATTTTCACCAAATAATCATCCACTAATTTTCACATGGTTTAAAGGTTTCATAATTTGTAAAGTTGAGTTGATATCATTTCAAAACAAGCATGTACAGAGTAGAAAACTTAGGAAGCTGAATCTCTTAACAAAGTGTTGGCTTTACTGGAAATGATAACACTAGCAATGAACACACCCACATGCATAACATATCATAAAATGTAATAGTGACAGAGTTTTCTTCTTTTGTAAATTTCATATATATAAACCAACCAAGAACCATTTATTTTTTCTCACTTCTGCCTAACCTGATACAATGTTATACCTACCATGGAATAGTCTGAAGATCAATTATAGATTATCGAAGCCTTGAAAGTGGATTCCCCATTAAAATTTTTGAAAAGGAAATAAGTGGGTAGTGGACAACTTCATTTTTCAGGTGCCATTCAATGTTCAGGGTCCGAATGAATTAGCAAATCGATCTATAAAATTGGTTAGTATTCCAGCATATTATTTGGCTATTTGGGTTAATATTCCTGGGTATCTAACTTAACTATACGCTGAAGTGTCATCCACGCCACTCCACAATTACTGTTTTTGGATGAAGAAGAATATACAACTCATGCAAAGTCATTCAAAATAATCAAGTGAAGCTAAACAAATCCATTCACAGCGGCAATTTTAACAAACACAAGTGAGGACTTGAAAAGATTACATAAATAAACCCAGAAAGAAAAACCAGAAACTCACCGAGGATTAAATTAGCGATGGCCGGTGAGTCTTAGATTCTCAGGATGCTGAAACGCATAAAGAGAAAACACTTGTTAATAAACAGAGGAACTGGTTCAGACTTCAGACTTAAACAAATAGACAAAACATCAAAATTTTTACCCCCTGATAAAATTCGAAGACGAAGAAGAACGGCTAGAGTTGCGTTGAGACAGCACGAGACAACAGACTTCAACACAAGACGAAGACGACGCAAGACTGAGACGACGGCGACGAGATCGGGAACGGCAAACGTCGACGTGGGCAGATGGAGAACACACAGTCAGAAAGGAGAAAGCTTTTAGTTAGGGTTTTTTCAATTTGATTTTTACGATTTTGCAACAGGGGCGGATTTGTCAATTTTGAATACTGTAAAATTATCATCGCCCCCTTTAATAAAATTTTATTCATTTGTCATTGTAATTCTATCATTAACAGTGTTTCTATTCTATAGACTATAATGATATTCCTAATAAAAAAAAGGGGTTAAATAGACATTTCAGTTTTCGAAGCATTAGCACACTAGTCTGACGAGGATTATAATGACCTTTTCAGATTTTACTGGAGCAAAGTGATAAATTTTCAAAATCTCAAGGGCAATAGGTATTTATCCCTTGAAATAAGTACGAGAAAAATTTGTGCAACTTCATAAAAGCTTGGTTTAGATACAATTTATATAATTGAACAAAAATAATATAATTAAGAGAAATAAAATAAATAATAATCAATACTTTTTTTATTTTTATTTTACCTATTAGTTTATCATCGAAAGTAAAAGAGTGTCATATTTATATTAATTTTCATATATTAAATATCATTCACACACACATAGGAATATTTTTAGTTTGGGTTAACATATAGAAATAAAATCCAAGTTTGGGTTCTTGAGTTGGACCTAAGTATCATTCACAGCAAAAAACTCAAAATTAGATTCGAAATTGTAGACCAAGACACCAATAAAATTTTCCTCACCATATAACACGGCAAGGAAGTTTTTACTAAAGTTCTAAATATACAATGAGTCAAGTCCTTGTTCTAAGCTCAAATTTGGTTTAGTTGAGATGCTTTTGAATAGTCGTAAGAGTTTTACCGGTGCACAAAAATAGAGTTATTGTGGTTTATGATTTAAGTTTTTAACTTTAATTGTTCTCAATTATTTATATTAGTGGAGTATTTATTAAGTTGATTTTTCAAATTTACTCATTCTAGTATTATTATTTAACAAAAACTAATTTGTATTTTCCATTGAAAATTTGATCTTTGTTATTGTAGATATGTTTAATACGAGAAGACAAGCAACAATATTCCAAATAAAAACACTGAAATTTATTTTTCTGCATTGTTCTTACATGCAAGGAACCCAAATCGAGATTGGAAGGCTACGAGCCTTGTACCAGCAGCAGCAACATGAGCAACAGCAACCACCACCATCTTCTAGTCATCGACGCTCTAGCAACAGAGACCAGTTTCCGAAGCTATCCATGAAACACAAGGATGCAAATTCTGGCCATGACTGATCTGTGACTAGTCCACTCCGCATTTAGATAGTTGATTTAGCTAATACATTTTAACTTCATGAGTTCTTCAGTAGTTCTATAAAATAAAATAAAAATTAATCTTAGTGGAAATTTAGATCTAGCAAAATGATGATAGAAATGGGCATACAATGTGTTTATCCCCTACAAGAATCTCAATTTCAACTGCCCAAGTAAGTTTTTATCTTAGTGTTTCATTAAATAGGATTATATCTGACAAATATCGACAACTTTGTGTGGAGTATCATAATAATTAAAAAAAAAAAAAAACTGTATTTTCCATGATTCAAGGAGAATGTATGCTCACATACTTAAAGAAAATTGTAAATTCCTATTTTCTTTTAAATAATACCATTTCTAATCCTATACCAGACCTAACATGATTCGAAAATTTATGATTATCAAAAAATAATTGTTTACACTCTATAAAAATGAATCTCTTTAATGAGAAAACTCATTTCAATGAGTCAATTGGGTTCATTTAATTGGTTGCCAACTTTGAATGAACTTAGACCAATAAACTATATATCTCCACAAACACGACACGAAATATTAATAAAGTCATGTACAACGAGTCAAGTCTTAAGTCAAATTTGCATTGACTAGAGCCATTGAACAATTAAAAATCGTACTCTAATTTATGAGCTTTTTTTCTTCTTCAAGAAATTAAGAATTTCAAAATTATATACCGATTTTATTCTGTTTTTATTTTCATGTAGCATCTTAAAAGGATAATAAAATAAAATAATTCTACTTTATACAATTTTATTAACCTTTGCTCTTCCTTGTAACATCCAATTTTGGCTCTTGTGTTGGACCCAAGAATCATTCATGGCAGAAAACTCAAAATTAGATTCATAATTGTAGACTAAGACACCAATTTTCCTCACCATATAACACGGCAAGGAAGTTTTTACTAAAGTTCTAAATAGACAATGAGTCAAGTCCTCGTTTTAAGCTCAAATTTGGTTTAATTGACATGCCTTTGAAGTTTGAATAGTCGTAAGAGTTCTACCAACTCGAGTTATTGTGGTTTATAATTTAAGTTTTTATATTCATATATAACAGTTATGAATGTAGATTGTTCTCACTTATTTATATTAATGAAGTATTTATTAAGTTGATTTTTCAAATTTACTCATCATAGTATTATTATTTAAGAAAAAACTAATTTGTATTTTCCATTGAAAATTTTATCTTTGTTATTGCAAATATGTTTATTACATTACAATTTGTTGTAATTACGGTTTAATACAAGAAGACAAGCAAAAATATTCCAAATAAAAACTCATGAGATTTATTCTTCTGTATTGTTCTTGCATGCAAGGAACCCAAATGTCTTATTTGTACACTTGTTATCAATTTTATCACTTTATACACACATACATAAATGGAGAATTGTGATCGAATATGACCATTTCATTTAGCTTATAATAAACGTTTATATTCTAGTGTAATAGCTTGGTTGACGGTGATTGTTAGTCTGGCTTATGACAATATTTTCAAAGGAGATGACTTGGATTAACACGTTAATACAAGTCATTGCAACTTAGAAAAGGCTGAAGCAAGTGGTCCTCAAAGTTCCAAATATTTCAGAGTTCACGAAAACTATAATGAGAACAAAATTTAGTTCAAACACTCCTTAGAATGTGAGGACTAACGCGTGGACTAAAAATCCACAAATTAAAGCCCTTTTACAATCAGCACTAATACGGTGGGTAGCAGTCTTGCCATTTGCATAAGACTGCTTCAATATTCTATGCACACTACATGACTTGTCGCCTTTCATGAGTGCCTATAAGTTCCTACCCTGTGAACCTATCTTGTCAAGTTGGGTTTTCTTAATTTCATAGTTCAATGATGAGTCGAATAGTTTTTTGCTCAGTTAGCTTTCATCTCCTGCTTTTATTTTGGTCAAGCCTGCTATCTTATGGTTCAGTTGCTTTTGCCAGTTCTGTGTTCAAAGGCAATGAAACCGATAGACTTGCATTGCTTGAATTCAAGGCTAAAGTTACTCATGATCCTCTTCAGGTTTTGAGCTCATGGAATGATTCCAATCACTTTTGCCAATGGGAGGGTGTTACATGCAGCCGGCGTCACCAAAGGGTCACAACATTATATCTTCCTCATCAGAAACTGGAGGGACCTCTATCACCATTCATTGGCAATCTAAGTTTTCTTAGAGTTCTAAATCTCCAAAATAATAGCTTTCGCAAGGAAATCCCTTGGGAGATTGGTTATTTGTTCAGGTTACAGTTTTTACACCTTGAAAACAATTCATTTGGAGGGGAAATTCCTAGAAACTTATCAAGTTGTGTCAACCTTGAAGTTCTTGACATTTCCTACAATAAGCTTGAAGGGACAATTCCAGTGGAGCTTGGATCTTTATCTAAGCTCCATGAACTCTATGTAACCAACAGCAATCTGTCAGGAGAAGTGCCACCTTCCATTGGCAATTTGTCATCTCTTGAGATACTTATAGCAACTAGAAATCAATTTGAAGGAAGAATTCCAACAACACTTGGTCGATTGAAGAGGATTCAAGTGATTGCATTTGCATTAAATAATCTATCAGGTACGATTCCACCCTCAATCTACAACATATCTTCGCTTGAGGAAATCGCTTTTCAGTATAACGAACTTAAAGGGGGTCTACCCATAGACCTAGGCTTCAGTCTTCCTAACCTTAAAGTGCTAAATGTTCGTGCCAACCAATTTACCGGACCCATTTCTCCTTCAATAGCCAATGCCTCAAATCTATTGACACTTGATATTGCACAAAATAGATTTAGTGGAAAGGTGCCCACGTTGGAGAACCTACATAAACTACGGGAGGTTATAATTTCTGCGAATAAATTAGGATATGGGGAAGAAGATGACTTGAAGTTTCTCAGTTCTTTGCAAAATGCTACGAGCTTAGAGATACTGGTTTTTGGTCATAACAGATTTGGAGGTATGTTGCCAGAAGTTATTGGAAATTTGTCGACCCAACTTAGAATACTATCAGTTGCAAACAATATAATGTTTGGAAAAATCCCAACAGGAGTCGGCAATCTTGTTAACTTGTGGGCTTTAGATCTAAGGTTGAACCGATTTACAGGCCATATTTCCAACAATATTGGGAATCTTCAAAAGCTACACATTTTGCAGGTCTATGAGAACAGGTTATCTGGGGATATACCATCTTCTCTAGGTAATCTAACACTGTTAACCATACTTAGACTAGATAGAAACAACTTACAGGGGACCATTCCATCAAGTCTTGGGAGATGCACTAATTTAGAAGTATTAAGTCTCTCTGATAACAATCTAAGTGGTAGCATACCCCCTGAAGTAACTGGTCTCTCATCCTTGTCAATTCATCTTGATCTATCTCGAAACCAATTGACGGGTTCCCTACCCTCCAATGTTGGTAACTTTAAAAATCTAGGAAGGCTACTTATATCTGAGAATAAATTGTCTGGTGAAATTCCTGATA